GGCAGTTCCCTGTTTCCAGATGACTCGGGCAGATGAAGCTTTGGGAGATCAGATCAAGCCCCTGTCCTACAAGGCAGGATACAGCTGCAACTTGTCTGGCACAAATGTCACACACCATCAATCCCTTAAAGCTGCAGGAAACTGTAAACTCGATGCACGCCACAACAGGAAAAGTTCATTACAAGGACAATATGCTGAAGGGCACAAATTCAAGGGAAAAATCTATCCACTGGCAAGATGTACTCCTAAATAGAAGTGCACACGGAATAAATATTCTCTGCCTTGCACAAACCTTCCAAACATAACAGAAGGGAAAAACAGGAAACTGAAGGGCTCCTGAACTCACAGGAAGACTCCTGCCCACAGCTGTTAAGTGTTTTCCGTAACTACAGCAAATCAGAAGAGAAAGTTACAACTTTCAGAGGCACTGAGATGTAACCCCACAGGAAGCCACAAACAAACAGGCAGAAACTTTCTGTAAGGATAATAAGATGGGATCGTGAAAAATTATTTGAGGAAGAAACTCAGTAACCTGTTCCACATGCCCCGGATATCAACAATACTCAGCTCACCTCCAAGTTTTGTAAAAGGCACACTGTTTTGTTTAGAGATGACCTCATAAAAATGTTCCTAGTAATTCCGGTTTCATCTGTAATTCCCACACTCGCGTCCCTACCTTTATATTTGAAAGTCTCGTAAGTAGATGCTGCAGAAGAAGAATCTGAAGAGAATCTAACAAATCCTACAAGTACTGGTATTGTGTGTAGTAAATAATTACAACACCAAAAAAAACTGCAAACAGGCTCTAAGTGGAAGGCAAGGACCCCGAAATGCAAAACCGAGCCCCCGAACCGCCCGCCGTGGCTGAGATCAGCATCGCAGCCCAGCCAAGCAGCGAAGGCCTTGACTCCCCCCGAGCACGGCGGCGTGAGAGCGCCGGGGGCAGCGCCCAGCACGAGCAGCGCTCACCGCGATCAGCCGTGCCGCCCTCCTCCTCCTCCCCCGCTCCCCGGGGAGGGCGGGGACAGGGCGGGCGCGCTGCCAGCGCCGCGGCCATACACGCGGCCGGAACCCCCGCGTTCCCCGCCGCCAGGCACGGAGCAGCGCGGGCCCCGCTCGGCGGGCCGGAGCTTCTAGCACCGCCCTTACAATGAATGCGCGGCAGGCCGGGCGCAAAGCCCCCCGCGCGGGGCGGCCGCGGTCGCCGCCGTGCTCCGCCCCTGAGCGGGCCCACAGAGAATCCCCACGCCGCGCGGCGCCCGGCTGGGCCGGTCCGCTGTCCCCGCCGGGCGCCGGGGCGCAGGGCCCGGCGCCGCCCGCCCTCACCTGCCCGCGCCCCTCACGCCGCAGAGGCCGCAGCGCCGCCGGGCTCCTCGCAGCCTCCTCTCGCTCGGGCAGCGCCGCCGCTAACAAGGACGCGTCCCATTGGTCGCGGCGCGGGCCCCTCCCTCAGCAAGGGCGCCGCCGATTGGCCCGGGCGGCGCCGCGGCCGCCACGCCGCACGCGGGCCATGTTGACTGTTCGGCGGGGCGGCGCACGGCCAATCAGAGCGCGCGGGAGGGGGGGGCTAAGGGGGGGGCGCGGGGCCGCGGGCGCGCGCGAGGCGAGCGCGTGATGCGGGGCGGGGCGGGGCCGGAGGGGACGGCGCGTGCCCGCGCCCTTAAAGTGACAGCAGCGCCCCTTTCCTCCTCGGCTCCTCCCGCGGAGTTTTCCTCGGTGACTGCAGCAAGCTCCGGGGCTGTGTGTGCTGTCCCTGCAACAAACAGCACGGAGAGCCGCGGCCAGCGAGCCCGAGGCTCTGGGCCTGTCCCAAACACCCACAGCGGCCTCACCGTGCGGGCGCTTCGTTCTCATCACAAAGCCCGGGCTGGTTCTTCTGTCCCTGGGTGCAACTGGAGCAGCTCCAGCACCTCGCCTCTCTGGCCTGTCCTCAGAGGTCACAGCCGCCACAGCGTTCCAGCTGGGTGGCCTGTCCCACCGCGTCAGCGATGACTGAGCTGCCTGCATGTCCCGGTTCCTGCCTCTGGCATTAAGACCATCCATGCTGGAGATGTCCGTGCGGTTGCTGAGGCTCCGTGCCCGGCCTGACAAACACGGTGCTGCTGCTGCTGCACCACAGCAAATCCGCAGCAAACGGGGTCGTGGCAGCGCCCTGACCTGTGCCTCAGACACGATTCCCTGTTCGAGCAAGCCAGGAGAACCCCACTATCAGCCCACTTCTGTGTGCATGGAAGGCTGAATTTTGATGTGAGGAGCCAGGCAATTTCAGCACCTGAAGCCACTTCCAGAATTTTAGTCATCTTTCACTTAGAGGTTTTTGGAAAAAAATTCTAACCTTTATCTCCTGTCAGGTAGTTCCCTTGTTCTAAGAAGTTTTCTCCAGGTCTGCACCTTGGATTTCTGTAACAACTAGTATTTGGAAGCAATGAGACCAATATTTTATAAACCAACAACTAGTCAATAGATTAGTGTTGGATTAAATAATTTACAGTAAGACTTCAAGTTACAGGAATAACCAATGAATCTTTAATTAGATACAAACACAGTAATTAAAAATGAGTTAATTTTGAAAGAACTGCAGGAATGTTATAGCCACTTGCACAAGCAAGCAGATTTGCTGAGCCAGAGGATATATTCAGTGGGATGTTCCCCTTCTTTACTTGGCTTCCAGCTCCCTTTCCCTGTTTCTCCAAACCAGTTGTTTTTTCTAACATCAGCAGGTTAACAGCCTCCTCATATTTCCATTAATCCTTAATTTTGGGACAACCTTATTCATGGTAGTGACTTTTTAAGGTCATGTATGCATGTATGCATTCATGGTAGTGATTATGTTTGATTCTCAGTGTTCCAAAGAAGAGCATCATGAACTCTGAGAGAAGGGCCTATCTGAAGGTATTCCTACTCCACACTTCTGTGCTTGCTGCTGGCTCATACCTGTCAAGTATTCTTTTAAGATTTTTCTGCCAATTTCCATTTTGTTAAAAGCCACTCAGATGCTGAGTACAAACTCCAAGCTTTGTCTCCTACAAAGATGCAAGATAGGTGTGAGATCTAGCTGCACTTTTCTGTGCTTGTATATCAAGGTAAACAGACATTTCAACTACCTTACACCTCTGGACTTTTAGTGCCCGTTTCCAAAGGCATTAAATCTCCCATGGTCCATGAAGGATTTTTGCTGACTGCTGTCTAACCTCTCATGGCACAGTGCTAGACTCCATGACTGTGGATAAAGCACAATCTGTGGAGTCATCTTGCTGTCAGGTGCTGTTACCCTGCAGAGAGCTGCAAACAGATATCTGCTGAATCACCCTGGCTTGATTTAAGCAGCCAGCCTCACATGCAAGAGCTTGGAGAACCAGAACTGAGGGAAGGGATCATGCCAGAGCTACCAGATAGATGCACTTGACACTGGAGAGCAAGCTTAGGCTGAGATCTGTAACTGGCATTAAAACTGTCTGTGTCTTCTGCCCTTGAGTGAGTATTAATGGAAACTGCTCTCACTGGGTGAGATGCCAGACATTCAAAGCCTCATCTGAGATATAAGATTTCCTCTGTCAATGACTTTTCCTGCAGGGGAGGAAGAAGTTTGATCATTGCTAAGCAGAGTCTTGGCACTAAATAGCTGATGTGTTTCTTAATTAATGTGTTCTGTCTCAAGGCATGTTAAGTACTATGCATGTGGTACATATAGAAATTGCCTTGTGAAATCAGAGTGGAGTAAAATTCCTTCCCATACTTGTATGGTAGAAGTTCTGTGGTTAAAGAGGCAGCTAAAGTTGGTCCAACAACTACCACCAGCTGAGAATGCTTAAACTTACCTTTAACTTGTTTCTCTACATTTTAAGCTATGCTCTGTATGTGGCAGTGAATTGCTTATTTGCACACTTAATATGTAGCAGTGCCTTTGTGCAACAGGAGACGGCAAATAAAAATGTTAGGATAAACAGGTCAAAGAGAGCGTTATAAATGTAATCAGCACTCATCAGTTGAAAGTCTTTTAAAAGATTGGTGGCATCAAGTTCACACTGAACAATTCACAGATTTTTCTACCAGTGTCTGAGCAAACGGAGTGATGGGAGGAATTTGTTCTCTTGAGTGGAGCAGTATTCACATTTGACTAATGGGAATTTTCACATCAGAAAGGCTGAAAGGCACACTCTGAGCAAGAGACAAACAAAATTTGCTGCTGCCAAGTTTGGACTTCAGCCAAGGGTGCAATTTAAAACAGAAACACCACTCTTTTATCTTCTCTTGCCATCTCTGAATAAATTCTTTGATAGGTGGGAAAAGAAAAGCTCCATGTTGTCTGAGCAAGATGAGGTCTCTGTTCCAGAAAATTAAAATATTTTATAATTCTAAGATTTTGCTAGGAGGATTTTCATAATTTTCATAATGCTTAGAAACTCATATTTCAGACTGGCTTCTCTGAAAGTGTGTATGCATATATGACCATAAAAACAAAAAGCACATACAAATCCACCCCCCCAAAAAAAAATTTAAATGCTGTGTAGTCTATCCTCTTCCTTTTTCTGGCTGAGTGAGGCAGATGACTAAGACACTGCAGACCATTGCTGTTGCATTCCCTTCTCCTGCTTGCCAGGTCTCTCTCAGAAAGCAAGTGCAGTGGAATTCATTTAAGTGCCACCTTGAGGGATTGCCAGGGAATAGGTATTGTCTGTGCAACTCAGTAATCCCACAGATCAATTGACACACCCACACTGAAAAAGTAATTTTAAGCAGTGTGCATCCAAACCTGGCTGCAGCATTCTTTGTTTGCTACCAAGTTTTCCTTCGGCAGGATTTTACGCATACTGAATTAAAAAAAAAAAACAAAACAAAAAACATAGGGAGGGAGGGAGGGAGGAAGCAGTGTGTGCATGTGGGAAGCATACAGAAAGACCGGAAAATAACCTTTGGAAAATGTGAGTCTGAAATGCTCCCAAGAGCCCTGCAAGAAGAATTGTACCAGAAACAAAATGAAGCATTTAGGAAAGAAAAAGTGCATTTTAAAAAACCCTATTATTTTACATTGATATAATAATGCAATTGGATTAGGATCTACTAAAAACATAACAGGAAGAGAAAAACAAAATGTGGAGGCAAAAGCCAGGATTTTATCTTGGAGACATCATAAACTACAGTCCAGGACAGCCACAGATCAACAGCATTTTCTCTACAGTTAAATACTAACTCACTTTAAGTAAGTGCTAACTCAGATCACCAAAAACAATTCCTGTATTCAAATTCCTGGCACTATTTGACATTAAGTTGCAACTTCAGAAGCAGCATAGGCATGCCCCATCCTTTCACATGCATCTTCAGGGAGCACTCTGGGAAGAAAATCTTGGTAATAGCTGATAATGCCAAAGGGAGTTGGGATCTAAACCGCACAAAAATGGAACCTTTCCTCTTCCCATACCAAAGGATGGTTAAGTTGCCTGAATGGCCATGGCTGGCTGCTTAAAGTGTCATTGTGCAGTTTAAACATGCATTTATAAAATTGATTAGAAATTAGCAGAATAATCAAATATTGAATGGAAAATTAATTAAATTAGTAATAGGAAGCTAAAGGAAAAGCTCTGTAAACCACATTTCAAAAAGATGCTTGTGGAATAAAGATAAGCTCAATATTCTCCCCACTACACAAAGTTCACATACAAGTATTTCACAACAGATTTTATTTTCTGCACACAAGATGCATCTGCTTTACTGACCTTAACATGATGTATGTTTTCAAAGGCAAATACAGACAAATTAGAAAAAAACCCTACTAGACCCTTCTGTTACTCCAAATATTGTGTTCGTTCCTCATAAGGAGGAATGTAAATATAAAAATAATCAAGGAAAAACAAAGATGTTTAAAGTCTTAATTAAAGAAAGGAACATGACCTGATCATTGTAGCATGAACCTAGGAGTTGAGAAAACAGAGGTGTCACAGTATGAGTTTCTGCAAGTCACCTTGAGAATACTGAATGAATATAGTTCTGCAGATCAGACACTTGGCTGTTCTGTGCAGCTGCGAAGTAGGTGAGATATATTGTAGGATTTCATGAACTTTAGTGCATTTTGGAACTTCTGCCAGTGAAATGCATTGTTAGGCCACAAAGAACTCTCCCTGCAGATATAACGTGACCATACTGCATCAGAAAGGTTCTTATCTCATGGTTAAATCATCATGTTAAAAACATCAGTCTTGAATACAGGGCAATGTCTAGCTGTATTCCCTAACTGCAAATCAATCCACAAACTGTATAACAGTAGGAAACCCTCTGTTAATTCCCCATGGCTCTGAACTGGTAGTTAGGTACTGAGTACTTTGGGTAATCAGGTACTTTGGCAGGGCTCCTGTTTCCTTAAAGGGGGAGCTCCAAGGACACACCACCTCTGCCATCAGCCCTTCATGACTTTCCCACCTGTTTGTTCAATGCAGGTGCATTTGCCTTGTACTTACCCACTTGATTGCAATTGCAGGTTGATGATCTGTTCCCTTTTTCAACAAAGGGACTGTTAACTTCTACTATGCAAAGTGTTCTGGGTATACTTATGAGAGTTTTTAATAACAGCAGCTAGAATAAGTATCATAGTGGAACTACCCACTTTTCCTGCTTATGTAAAGATACTAAAGTCATCTGGAAAATGTTGTTCTTTCTTTAGGGCAAATTACTCAGCTCCCATTTAGCAATAAATTTTTCTGACTGTAACATTGAGTGTTAGATAGAGATCGGTATGCAGGACAAATCAACCAAAGCCTGAACAGCTAGAATGAACAAGAATCCTTATGTGGATTTGCTGACTGAGCAGCACCTCCACAAACAGAACTGGCAACCATATTTGCTATCATTGAGAAGAAACATCTTACATGTTGGCTTTTTTTTTTAATGATGGATTTTTATTACATTTCCAGATGACATTATTAACCCACGTAAACAGGAATTTTACTTTGCACATAATAGAAAGTGTAAACAGAAATTTGAGCATCAGTGTATGCTCACTTCTTCAATGGGAACCCAGCACTCGCCTTCTAAATAAAAAGTCCTGTTGTTTTCAATTTGCACTTCCATTCTGAACCATTTGTAGATACTCCTTGTGTAGCTTTTCTTGGGTTTCATAAAGTTTCTTTAGCTTCTTAATTTGTCCTTTGCTAAGTTCCTTGCCTTCTGTATCATGGGTGGGAAATCCCTGAAACATATTAAAAAAAAAAAAAAGAGTATTTAAGGTAAGTTCTTGGACTCCTTTTGTTTTTATGGAATCATGCTTTTAACAAGATAGGGAGATAATGTCATAATGACAGGCTGTCATGAAGGGGTGTATCTTACCTAATTTTAGTCACCTAGAAGTTTGACAGCTAACTTTGACTATTTCTCAATGTTCCCTTCCTAGCAAAACAAGAGGCATAAGGATGTATTTATCTTCTGTCTTGAACCACATAAGGGAAGCTTAGACCACTAACTTCTAGATGGTTTTAGTTAAGAGAATAATGACTAATTCTCGAACAGATGGTTAAAATAATATTTTAATCATACTAGCAGATTGAACTAAAGGATTAAAGCAAAAACAGTATGATATTTATATTCTTGATGGAGAAAGTAGGATCAGCATTTTTATGGACATTCTCCTTGGCTTGCAGGGGTATATTCCAATATTTATCCTCTCCATTCTGACTTGTCTCTAGGACTTGAATTTGTGTAGGTGAAGGGGAGAAGCAGAAGCAGGATCAATGACCCAAACCAAGTAGAAGTGAAGAAACAGTGCTTTATGTTTTCCAAGTAACCCTTTTATCCCCAAGGGGAGCAATCAAGAGCAAAGTTATGCATATAGCCCCTTCAGAGAGCCTTTGCCAATTGAGAGCAAAATAGTGGGCACAAGGGAACAGGAAACACAGGACCTCTCAAAAAGTATCAGTTCTGGAAGAGCTGGGCAGTTTGTACTTGCAAATGAATACCCTGCCTTGCACCAGAGTAATAAATCTGTGAATGAACATCAGACATATTTTGGGTAGGAATGTGTATTTTGCTTTGTAGTAACGGGAACCAAAGGAAATGTACAATGAATGTACAAAGGAACGTAGAAGGAAAATACCCTTGAAATGATGGCTAACAGAGACCTTGCTCCCCAGTGCACAATAAATTAATATATCACCTTTTTCTTCTCTCCTTCCCTCCTCTTGCTACATTAATAGCCCTCGAGGTTTGGAACAAGATTGCTATAAACATATACAAATAAGTATGTACAACTGGGGGAGGAAAACCCATCGCCCAAAATGAAAAGAAGTCTCTTACATTTTCATCAAACATGGAATATTTGTCAAGTTCCAATTTAAACATTTCATGTGGTGGAATCTTCATTTTTTCCAGTTTTGCTGCCTGTAATATAAAACATGCATTAACATCACAGTTAATTACTGACAACCTGTCACATATGTAAAAGGAAAAGTATATTATAATTTCAAAATCAAGGAGTATTCAATTCATAATTGTTAATTATGTGAAAAGAAACTTGAAATGAGGAACAACTCAGTAGGTCTTAGCTGTGCTTGTCTGGAGGAAAATCTGTTTTAAACTGTAGAGAACCACTTTATAAAACAGATGCATTGCAGAAACTCAAAATAATTTGCTTATATACCCCAAAAACTACATCTGATTCCTGCTAACTTGGTTCTTTAGTCAACACTAAGTGAATAGCTGCTATCATAAAGAATACTCAGCAATTAATCACTGCAAAGGGAACCACCTTTATCAAGTTTCTTGCTGACAGGAAAAGGTTTCTATGCAGGTTACAGAAGAATCAGATGCAGTAACTGCACTGAAAACAAACTGAACTCTCCCTTATCTGTAAACAAGCACATCTCAGAATCTTTTCCACGTAATTTTTGCTCTATGCAAGGGAATCACCTTTTTGAAAAAATGAAAAAAGATACTTGGAATATATGGAAGATAAATGCTATTTATCTTGTTTTATCTCTGTATGTGGTGCTCTCTAAAAGTTTTCTTCCTCTTCTAACACAGGAATGTATTTCCTGTACTGTTAAAGTCATCAGCATGGTAAACAATATTTTTTCTTATGAGTTCATCTCCTCTGTCTACTCCTTATCCAAAGCCCAAAACCTTTGAGCTATCTGAATTGCAGTCACAGAGGTAAAACATTTCTCTGCTCAATCATAAGGAACAGGGGGTTTCTTACAGAGAAAAAGAAAAAAAAAAGGAGAAAAAGAAACCCTCTCACATATACCTATGATATTAGAAAGGGAATGAAATAATAAATGACACAAGCAAAATGTTCTCTAACAGTAACAAGCATGTAACTACTTTGTCAATTGGGTAATACTGTTTATAGACTTCTGTAATAAGTTTTTGCAGGCTTTAGATGTGTTTTCAAAAATAGCTTCTCTGTAAGAATTGAAAGTCCAAGCCTGAACTGCAAGACAAAAGTATTCTGAGCAGGAAATTGTAAACAAAAAAACCAACCAAACAAAAAAAAACACCAAAAAAAAAGAAAAAAAAGGAGACCTGGCTAAGGCTGGGCAGAGAGCCTGTATTCTAATGTTCTTTCCTGCACGTGACTACTACTGCCTACACGTTCCTTCAAAATGAGGTTACTTACTTCCTGCTGTTGTTTTTTCCTGGCTGCTTCTTCTTTCTTCCTTTTTTTCTCTTCTTCTATCTGTGAGAGGCAGTGTTAGTGAGTAAAAGGTAATGCACTATTCCATTTGGTTGTTTTCCACAAACCTGAGCCAGCTCCCCTGGATATCTAATTACAGACAGAACTGGCAGTATGACCTGCAGCAAACCCACCATGCCTTGTAATTAGGATTGTCTGATACTTCCCACTGTATGACTTTGATTTCATTTGCTTTTATTCACAGTTATACCAGTTTTAACTGTTCAGAATGCATTTTGCATGCAAAATCGATACCTATAAAAGAATACCTAAAATAAATTATCCTATCATTTTAGTGGGAAAACTGTTTTGCAAATGACTTTTAAAAAAAGACTGTATTTCAATGATATTTTAAGCTCTTGCTTCAAACTGTGAAGATATCACAGTTCCTTAAGCAGCAGTTGTATCACTTGATGTTCCTAGGGAAACAACTATCCAAATTTAGCCAATTTGCTAAAAATCCCAGCACTTGCCCAGGAGAGACCTGTCAGTTCTGCCAGTACTGAATATAATGCTGTTTCCAGGGAAAATGGACTCTGGCTGCAGATCCTACCCAGCAGCTATAAACAAACTGCCTCCAAATGTCACTCTGAAGAAAACATCTGGAATTGACTAAAATGACTTCTTAATTCTCCCTTTTCTAAAAAACACCAACATGGAAGGAGAAATGTTAGAAAGTCTTTCAAAGATTTCTAGTCATGATAGAATTTTATTATTTGGTGAAATTGAAGATGGACATATGAAGTGTTACTTTTAAATGCTACAAAGTCAAATATTGATGCTAGGAAGCGCCGAAAGCAGGGTATCTGTACGGGCCTTGTACATGTGAATTCAAATTCAAAAGCTCCATAGAGTAACATGAATTCTTGCCCCCACATCCTGAATATCTCACTAATCCATACTATATTAATTAAGATTTAGCGAGTACCTTTTTCTCCACATATCAGATTAATACAGACTAGTTCTATGGAAAATGTTGACTTCATGTGTAAAAACAAAAGAAGTCTGAATTAGCTTCTCATTGGAATTGTTCTTCTAGAGATTCTAGAATGCAATACTGACCAACCCCTTAGTTATATGAAGACCTTAAAAGGCAATAAAATAAAAAATCTTTGAGGTATTCACCTAGGTCCCATACAAAGTTTTTAAGAAGCTGTTTTGAAAAAATTATTTTTTTTCCAACACACTTAAATTTTTTGTATCAATTTTCTCATGTCATCTTCCTTGTTGCTAGTCTGCTATGATTTTTCTTATGAATTATCAAAGAAATGTATAAATATCCATAGCTTCCAAATTAAATTTTAAAAATATGGGATGCTTAAAATAATTACCTTTTTCTTTTCTTCTCTTTCTTTCAACAATGTGTCCTTATCCACTAATTTAACCACAGTTGGAAGTCCTAAAGAAGCAAAAGGAGACGGATTAATTTCTTGATTAGTCGAAGATAAATGTATTCACTCTGTGATAATTGTTTTCTTTTTGCATGCTGAATGCAAATACGACTCAGTGGCTAGTCAAAAGTGAATAAGAAATTAGGTGCTATAGAAAAAGGTGAAAAACATTGCCATGTATGGTTTTTTATTCTATATATGTATTCCAATATACAGTTCTATAATATATATAATATATATATACACACACACCATTATATATGATATATAATATGTGCCATTATACATAGTGCATATGAAATACATATCCATATATATATATATATATATATGGTGCACATATGATACGCTTTTGGTCTTCAATACTTGAGTTTACTGAATGATTCTAATAGTTTTGACAGTTTGTTTTACTACTTCTTAGGGAAGCAGCAGGATGATAAAAACAGCTCCTACAAAGTTTCAAGAGATAACTGGGTACCTTCATGATCTTCAAATCGAACTCCAAGTTCAGGCAGGATGTCATCCCGAAGAGCATCACTCAACTGCAGCACTTCAGTTACTACAGAGCATGAAAAATACTTTTAGTGAAGTAAAATTTGGCCAAAGTATAGTTTTATCCAGCTACACAGTTACTTAAGTTTCTTAAATACTTAAGAAATTGCCACTCTCTCACACAGAGAAAGGTCTTTCCTTTTAAAGTGGTAACTAAGTCCTGCCTTATTTCAGCCACACAGAGAAACAGCATATTTCATTGCAGGGATTTGAAAATCATAATTTCCTTCCAAGATACTCTCACTGTTCCTGAAGGGGAACAGAAAGAAAATCTAAGGCAATTCAGAATGATGCAACAATTCTGCAGGGTATGGTGGAAGAGTACATGACTCAGGAAGATCCTAATGGTTGCTATAGGATGTGCAATAAGAAAGGTTAAAAACCTAATTTTAGAAAATCACAAATTAACATATCCTGTGCTAAATCTAACAGTGCCCTTTGAAGGACTATGATTTTGTTAATTTGATAACTACATGTACATTTGTCAGAGGAACTGTAATCCCAACATCCTCCTTCTATTTCAAGCATTCTATTTTTACAGCAGAACAGAGAATTTTGGTTTGGCTTTCTGCATGGTGATCACCATTAGACATCATGGCTAATAATTTTTTCCCTTGCAAACTTACCAAACAGCCATTGATGACAGCAAATAGCTAAGATTTAGCTCAAGTATATGCAATCAGCTTTTAAGGGGAAAACAAATCTTCATACAGATTGATTTTTTGGATGAGAAATTCTATCAGTTGAGAAGCAGCAGAAGAGTTAAAAGGGACTAAATTCATTAAAGAGACACAGTATGTTGCAGTTGTGAATTCAGTGGCATTTTTTATAGCAAGTCTGATATTTGGGAAGAACACTTAGTTAGATGTGCTTATAATGAACATCTGTTCTACCTTTCAGCAATTCATAGCTGGTTAAACCTAAGAAGTACTCAGGGTCTCAAAGTTATTATTTCAGTGGAAGCTTCCATCCAGGCAGTTTGCTAAACACTGCACACTTTGGTAGATACAAGTACCATCCTTGAGCCTTCATCTCCTCCACAATCCTCAGAGAGCTGCAAGTGAACAGCACTGACTATCCTAAAACCATAAGAAGGAACACCCTGTTTCAGTGCATGGCCGTGTTCTGTGGCTCTCTTTGCACAGGAAACCACTGCAGTGCACAGAACGTCTTCTGTCTGCCGTGAAGGGAGTTGTTGTTTCTCCTGATCTACAGCAGTTACACACAGTGAACCACAGTCAAGTCTGATGCAACTCTAAATCAGCCATTAAAATAAACCAGGGATAAGATTCCCTCAGTGGCTGTTGATACTAAAAGGTGTTGGCTTCATCAAGACTGTATCAAGAACACCTACTGCTTATTCACCAAAACAGCATCTGCACAGTTATAGATGTTCACTTCTCTAAAATAATGAATAATTGAAAGTTGAAGAAGAAGAAATCCAGCAAGGAGAAATATATAATGACACATACTATTTATGACAGGACACATCCTCTGATCAGTCCTGTCATGCAGAGGAGTCAGCACCACTCTTCTTAAGGCTGAGATGTGCCTGTTCTTTGCATGTGGCACCTCCTGAGCAAAAATGTCCAGGATTGGATAGGGGATTGTTTTGTGGGCTGTCTCAGGACATAAGGAGGCTCTCACTGAGGACAGGGACCAGGAAACCAGTGGAACAATGCCTAATCACCAGTGCCCACCAACACCCCAACAGATGGACACTCCTTGGGCCTGTGACTATTCCCCAGACTTCTTCACATTTTCTGTGAATTTCACACCAAAGAGTATCAGATGTGAAACAGATGTTGAGATGTTGTGAATCAGAACACTGTGATGGGAAGGGAAACGAGGAGCTTGAAAAGCATCTAGAGAATGGTTATAAAGATTAGCAGCAAAAGATCAGTGCAGGCAATGCTACAATGAGAGAGTTCTGGTCAACTCCTGACATATGTGGAAGAGGGCAGAAGGTGCAGAGGGCACTGTGAGAATTATTAAGTCCATATTTAATGCTACCCATTCTGGATGATGGTAACATTTTTGCAGAGTACATATATTTTGATTATTACTAAAAAACATAGCTTTAAAAATGGCCATTCTGTGAAATGTTTTGTAGATACATTTGGAAAGGGCATGTATGTGGATAGGGACATTTGTAATACTCTGCATGTTTTACAGAGCCACATGTGTTTTATTTAACATCTGAGAATACTTAAAGCAATGCTGATTGTTTTAAATAATATTTAACACAACCCTGCCAGCAAGAGACTATGATGGGGAAACTCCCTTTGCCTACAACCATGCAGAGGCAATATTCCCAGCCACTAATAAGAACAACTTTTACAGTAATTTAATGCTTCCTGCAAGCAAGAATTTAATGGGTAAAGGGAAAGAAATCTGTAGTATGTCAGTGCAGGTCCTGCCAACCACCACTCAGCTTCCATATATCAAATAGTTTAAAAGAAAGGTGCCTCCCTGGTCAAATTGCAGAGGTCTCCACACCCCAACCAAGCAGCCACTAGATTTAGTTTGATTCTCATTGTCCAGTGTATCTCAGGCAAAAAAAAATCACTGCCTTCCAAGTAGAAATTCAAGTGCCAGTAAGCACTTGAGCCAAGTGTGTTCTAAAAATGATCCCTGTGATATTTAAACCTTACCACTGCTAAAAGCAATGATCAATTTAGCTCAACCATCATAAAGCAAGGGGGAAAAAAAGCTTAATATAAACAAGTATGTTAAATACCAAAATACTAAAGCTCACGTTTTTGGCTGAGGATATACACGCAAACATCTTGAATTAATTCAAGTTATAGAAAATATTTACTATTGGAACTTAGTAATAAGCCTATTTCTCAGCATCAATTAGGCCTATAAGAGTTTGACAATAATAGCAAAGTAGTCACAATAGCAAATACAGATGTGTGCTTTTAATGTAAATCTATCAGCTTTAAGAAGAACTCCAAACAGTAGCAGAATGAGAGTGCTGTCTTGTCCAGCTGAATAGGTTACCAGACACCACAAGTAATTTTATGTTTCTGTGCAATATATGGGTTACTTGTATGTTTTATGCATTAAAAAATGCCCTGTTTTGCCTTCAAGTACAAATCCCAAAGTTTTAAGAAAACAAAAATCCAACATAGAAGAGAAGAAAATAGTAAGAGCTCCTACATTAGGAAATATCAGCTAAAATCAAAGAAAGCTTAATGGAACAGCTTTTTTGACACTCTAGAGTTCTGCTGCCAACATACACAGCATGATCAAAGCTTTTCAGAGGGATTAAAAAACACACCTGAAACTTCCAGCAAACTCCCAGATGAATTCTCCAAAGAAAGCACTCAGTTATCATCGGGGGACCTACAATTCCAAGTATTCTAACAAATAATAGTGAACATCTTGGGCTGTTTAAATGCAGACACTATTATTGTGTAGCAATCTGCACTTTTAAGAAAATGCAAGCGCCCCAAGGAAGAGATCATGGGTACTTTCATACCTAGAAAGCAGGGAGTGCCCTAACCTAGAAAAACAGCAGCTACACCTCATCATTCCAGAACTTTTAGATTCCTTAGGAAATGAAAATTAGTTTAGCAGCCTAAAAAAGAATCCCAAAGAGACAGGCAGCAGAGATAGAAAAACTCACAGCAGCTCTGATTTAAAGATGCCTTACTTTTATTCTCTAAACAAGGAGAGACCATCAGCTGCTTCACACCCACGCCTCCATTCTCTCCCCTAGTTTGGTTCCTATGATCCCCAAGTCTCATGTGCAGGAGAAAGTACAGGAAAGGACAGAAAAGTCTCATGTATTGAGTGAATCTCACCTTTCTTTTCTCTGGCGATTTGTCGCACTCCTTCTCTGAACTCAGAAAGAACTTGGAGGTATGGCATCACTGTAGATTCAATCTGCAGGATTATTATTTCCACAGTTAACTAATCATCATTTAGATATAAAACATGTCCCTACCCACTTCATATTTATGTGCTGTTGGATGGACCTCAACCCTCAGGGCAGATCTATACATAAAAATTGTTATCACTCTACTGAAGTCAAAGAATAGATGAAAATTTGCATTAGTTGTCAATTTTCCTTTTGTGCAGATAAAATCAGCTTGTCAAGGTCAGCTTCTCCCCATTCATTTTTTACCTCCTTTCAGTTAGATCCATCACTTCCACAGGGTTATGCCACAATCCAGCTAACACTAATGCAGTGCAGGGATAAAAACAGCACTCAGATTGATTTGCTTCTTCATGTACTGTGTGTTTTTTTAGGCACAGCTGTTTATCAGATAATAAATAATACCACCTCAAACAGATATTAGTACTAATTTTCATTAGAGCCCAGATCTGTTCCTGAGATTTTAACTTATGCTAATTGTATAGGCAGTGCAATTCTCTATATTCCTGATACAATTTCCTCTCCCACAAAAAGTGGGGGAAGATCACTGCTGAATTATTTCAGGAGTAAGTAAATGCTAGGCACAAAATCTCAGAGAAAAGGTCCTGTGAGTATGGTCTCAATGGCAGTGAATAGCAGCAGCAAGCAGTTAATGAACAGCAAGAAAAACAACTACACATCAGCTACAAAAACAACTACAGATCAGTGTCTGCCAACGCTTCTCTGGAATCCCAAAGGAAAGAGCCAGGCCCTTGGGGGAAAGCCTAAATTAAAAATTTAATTACTCTGGAGGATGGGGGAGAGAAAAAGATGTCAAACTTTTGTCTCCTCTATAATTTCCACACATATTTCCTATCTGTTTAATCTCCATGACAAATTTCTGTGCAATTAAGGGACAAGATAGTCTGCTGTGCTGTAAAAGTACCCCTAAGAAAAGAACCCAGGAGTTCTGTTAAAACTTTTCATAAATGTGAACACTGCAACCAGCTTCATAATCAGATCCAGTGCTGACAAGTTTGGCCCAAGGAACAGACTGGAAAGTGAGGAATAGTCACATCTCCACTCCCCCACTGCACTGGAAATACCTCTTCATGAAAATAAAGTGGTATGGGGAAGCAGGCACTGTCACTACTTTATCAGTCATTTCAAGATGAAAGATTTTTATTTCCACAACAACTAACTTGAGAGAAATGCTGAATTCACTTGGAAAATGATATTATGGAACTGAGGTTTTCTGATTTCAAATCTCTTATGTCCCCTTTTCAAGGAAATTACTGACCCATGGTAATTAAGCTACTTTTTCTTTCAGCGCTTTTGAACTGGATTATGCCCTTTTTGGAGATATTGACTCTATTGGTTCTTTCATCTCTAATTTAAACAAGGAAACAACTGGTCTGACCCACAGCCTTCCGTAATTAATGAGAAGTTTTGGAACCTTGGAAGTTCACTTCCTTAATTTGTGCTAAGAAAAATAAGAATTTGTATGGAGGACTGAAAGACAGTATAAAACTTAATGAACAGCCAAAACATTTTTGATATTACATATTTTCATATTATAATGCTTAACACCAATAATGACCTGGGTGATAAAAACAAAAGCTTCTTGAGTGTAAGAGATGTTAGCACAGGATTCTTCTAACAATGGTGCTAACAGTGTTGCAAAATGTGGAATGTGTAAAACTTTCTTCAGAAAGGATGTTTTTTAATGTTTATTTTTTGTACTCTTTCAAGCCTAATCAACAAGAAGGGAGATGTAATCCCTGAAACAGACAGCAGCTAACAAGCAACCTCTAAGTGATGCCCAGGTGTTAGAAAAACAAACTATTTGTTGGTGGAATTGCCTTGTTAAGGTTTAGGGCTGGACACACTACAGTGACCTCAGACCTTAGGGGAGGTTAACAAAACTTGGGCAGAAGGATGGACCTCTGACAGTGGACACAAAGAATGCCACAAAGAATTCAGAAGCCAAAAGGACACTTGGCAGAACTTCCAAGATAAAGAAGAAACTCATAAAGCCAACGCAGCAACTGTGCTGAATAGCTCCCACTGGGCAAAAGGTCATTTCAAACACCAACTCATGGACCAACAGCCCAAGGAACCCACTCACTCAAAAGAACAGTCAGACTGAGCATGCAGACTAATTAGCATGGGAAGCAAGAAAATTATTAACCACGAGAAGATAGAATACAAATTAATAAGAGAATTACATAACTTGCAGCCAATGAACACTAGCTGCTTTGTTTGCTAATATGCATAAATAGTAAAACGTTTTGATAGTTGGTGTGCTTGATTTGTGGAATACCACTGAACACCCAGGCTTGCACAACTCTGATACAAATAATCAATGTTGCTCTTGAGGGTATAATTACTGGCTTGCTGCACATGGGTAACAAATTCAATTTTTGTGGACATGTGTTAGCACAAAATTTTTTTTTTTCTGCACAAGATTCTTCTCACTCTACTACCCTTGGCAGTGCTATTTTAAAGGAGTGAAATGACTTATCTTCAAGCTATCACCAATCCTTCCACAAAGCATATCTATTGGAAACAGTGCCTGAAGTTTTATTTATTTAAATTTATTTAAATAAATAAATAAATTTATTTTAAAAATAAATTTTAACTTTCCCTAAGAAGGTTAAGTGTTAAAGTTCTCCCTTTCTTCTGAAATTCAAAAAAATTCTGAACTAAATTTAAAAATCACCATTGATGGGCTTTGTAGGCAATACAGAACATCTTCATTATTATGTCATTAATAAAAAATTTCCACAGCACACGAATGTCAGTATTTACATTGGCAATTATGGGATGAGTGTTCATTCCCATTCTTCCAACCACAAGCAAGCTTGCCAATTCCTTTGATGAATAAGAAGTTAAGCTTTTTTTTTTTTTACACTAGAGATGTTTAATTTACTCCTCCTAAGGAGGAACAGAAAGGTGCACACCTTTAATGCATAAAAATATATGAAAAACAGCACTGATATGTCCATAAGAGATTTCGGCATGAACAAAGTGTTGATAGCTTTCACATGGAGTTATTTATCCTGAACCAGAAAATGTTATTTTCAGTTATTTTCTGCCTGCACCAGAAAATGTTCCAGGTATTCCAGCGCACATCAGCACTTTTATCAGGTACCTCTCAGGTATTTCCAGAAAAATTCTGCATCACAGCAGAAATGCTGGGTGACTAAAGCAAACAGCATTTGAAAGCCACATAAAAACTGTGGCTGCAAATGAGATCAGAAGAAAAGATTGAAATGCGGATAAAACTCCAGCTGCCTCCAGGCTGGTTTCTGGTGTACCACAAAGAAGTTTAATCAGTATAATTACATTTTTGAAACTACTTAGCATACAAATACTTGTAATGAGTCTTTAGACTGTAAGCATGTGCTGCCTGTAGTTCACATGTGGTTTAGGAAACAGACTCATCATTCAAAAGGCAAGATAATTCTTTTTCTGGTTGCTATACAATTTGTCTGTCATTATATCAAACAAACCTATAAAAATCCCAACTCTTGTAAAAGAAAAACCCTGCTTCCTAAGCCAATTAATCACATCAGATTCAAAAGCTAAAAGCAAAAAGAATGCAATTCAGCTACATATCAGTAATGTCATCACTCTAACCTAAGCTCTCAAAGGATACGGAGTAATTTTGTTTAGTGCATTTTGTCCTTCACTTACATTTGTGTTTTGACTAGTCCCTCCAACAGGAAAACCAATTGCATCATCACTTTCTATGGCACCAAAAATCTGGTCAAGGAAAAAGAAAAGATTGTATGCATCAATTCACAGGTATGTGAAAACTAAGCAAAATCACATATACTAAGCTTTCAAATAATTCTCATTTAACTCAGAATTCACAACTCTGTTAAGATGATGTTCTGATTTGTAATTGATACATGCAAATTGATGTTCTGATGATGATCTGTAACTGATACATACATACACCATATAAAGCATTGGCTTACAGATTTCACTTTAAAGATGTCAGATTTGTCATTCTGACTTCATATTTTTTCTACTGTCTAGTTTCTCTTGAATGTATTAGGGGCTCTCCACTATTCAACAAAACATTAGCTGAAAACATAATGCAATATGGAGGACTCAAAATTGATCCTGCTGCAGCACACACTGGAGTTTGGGTTGTTTCGGCTGGGGGGATGTGTGGAAGATCTCTAGTTTCCTGTAAGATTTAAACAAAGACTGTACAGATCCTCCCATACTTGAAAATACAAGTTATAACTGCACAGTGCAATAGCAGCCTTACTCCTTGCTGTTACATACCTTTAGCATTTGAGTGAGATAGGAGCTGATGTTTTCCAAAAGAAGTCTGTTTGGCATCTGTCTGGAAGATTTCTTTGCAGCAATATAGGAGTTACTCTGGCTGACTAAAGACCGCATTTCCTCTAAGGCAGAGCGGGTGTCAATATTGTCACATAGTGCTTCATGAATTGCTGCTTTCTTCTCATAAAAACTGAGAAGAAAAAGATTCTTTTTAACTACTCATGCCAAAAACCCAGCAATGTACTCCAAAATGTCTCTGTTAGAAAAGTAAGGGGACTAAAAATAAGGTAACTTTTTGCTGGTCATAGTTCATATTTGAAGGAAAAACATAGGAGCAAGAAAAAAGACATTATCATGATGCTGCTGTTTTACTGCTATGGACAAAGGCAGGCAGGATAATCTAACTGACAACAACTACCCAAACAAATTACAAAAAAATTTTCAGCACCTGGCCTTTTCATGCAAGTTTTTTTTGTTTGTTTGTTTTGTTTTGTTTTGTTTAAAGCAGTATTAATTGCTTATCTAGTATCTTCTTAGGCTTACTTTTTTTTTTTTTACAGTATTGCTCTCCTATCCCTGTGTACCAGTCAGGTTCTCAGTTTAGTATCTTTCCAGGAAGGAGCACCAATTTGGAAGTTAACACAAAGTGATGAAGATACTTTAAGTAGATAGAATAAATTCAAGCAAACCTTTGTCATATTAGTGACACATTAGTAGGTATAATAAATAATACAACATATTAAGTACCATTTCATCACACAAAGGTTTTATGGTTTCAAACAATGTACTTTTTCCAAGAAAAAAATAAGTGATAGAAGAAAGGAGACAAAACTAAATATCCATGAAGCGTATCTTCTATTCCTCCCACTTCTTTATCCCTTCCTTTTGACCTCTCTATTACTTATTATGTCCCACCTTTTCTAAAAAAGGGGTTATCTCCACCAACCTCAAGTTGAAGATAAAATTTTCAGAGCATATCACTACACAGAAACATCTGCACTTAATCCTTCAATAGTAACATTAGTGAATACAATAGTGAACTGAACTAGGAAACAATTTTAGCACTGCCATGTAAGATGCTCCTATTTTAAATTTCAGACAAAACAGATGTCATTTAGGAAGCTATTTGCATTACAAATAATAATGGTAGTTTTGTTACAAAAGTCAAAAGACTGCAAAATTGCTATCACTGCCTTGATGACATATTTTCAAACACTGGCACTGACCTTTCATGGTTTTAGTCAGGTCATTTAACTTCTGTTTGTCTCAGATAGCTTACTATACTTTGAAATACGTAAAATACTGTTTTTCCAGTTGTAGCCACTGTAAATTATTGGTCACTTCTCAGAGAGAAGACAAGATTTTATGTAGTGAAGAAAATGACAGCTATCTAACAAATAAGTTCTTTCCCTTCACGTGGCAATGAGGCATGCCAGTGTACTTAACGTAAACGAAAGAGAATAATTTCATTTATACTTCATAAAGCTGTCCCAAGATTACAATGATTGCTTGTGAAGAATTGGGATGTTAAGTGGGAATGCTACAGACATAAATATCACTATACATATTGTAAGTGATATTGTAAGGAAAAAAGAATTAAAGATGAAACAACAATTCAGAGAGAAGTAGGAATGCTCCACTCACTTTTTGTTCAGCTCTACTTCTTGATTTTCCCATTTCTGAAACTGGCCTGTCACATCAGTGGGAGCTCGAAGAATATCCTTCACATTCAAAAAGAACTCCTGTAAAAGAAGAATATAGCTAGAAGTTGGTTTCAATTACACATAACCAATACTTACTAGGAAAGGGGTCATTATTTCTTAATGAGACTCCTAAACTTTATGGGTTCAGCACTGTTTCACCCAGGATCTAATGATGTTGCTCAAGACAACAAAACCCAATAAAATAATTTTGCATTACTCTTCAATCACAGTTGGACAGCAATTCATTTTTATCTCTTGCTCTGTTACCACATGATATCCTACAATATTCTAACACCAAGCTGCTCAGGCAACAGTTCTTATGGAAGATTTTAAAGTGTGTTGCTAGCAATGGAAGCTGAAGAATAAAATGGCTTTATTGCAAGGGCATCAGTAAAAAGTCGTTTTAACATAATCCATGACCCAAACCAAACATTTTACATAAAAAGCAGAACAGCTTCAGCCGGAAAGACCAAGATCAACAATCTCAAACTGTTGTGCAGTGTCCTTTGGGAAATGTGAGTTTAAATTATGGCTCCAAACCAAGCAGGGACAGGAACTGTGCCTAATCTCTCACACACCTGTAAGGCATAGAGGCAAAGGCTCAATGTTTGTTTGATTTACAGGACTTGAGAGTTTGATGGCAGCTAAAGAAGCACTGTACCATCCCACCTGATGAATTCAGAAAGCAAACCCATTCTGGGCATATGGCCTACATATCCTTAGAATTCTGTTCCTTGAAACATACATGGCAACACAAAGATTAGAGAGGTGCAGAAGAAGTGGAAAACTTACATTCATAAACTTCTCATATTGAATAGCTGACTCCATGGTATTATTTGAATAATCCAGTGTATCCTTCCAAGAGTGCATGAGGAAAGCCAGCCGTAACTGTCGTGCTAGCACAGGAGGTTTAAAATAAACAAGGAAAGTTTTTATAAGCTAAAACACTTTCATGAACTCCCATACTGTAGTGGCTGAGAACATAATCTTTAAATTTCTAACTATCACTACATCTACCAAAAAGCAAAACCACTATTATCCATACTGATAAAAAACAACAAGGATCAGAAGAACAAGGAAGCTATTCTAAAGTTAGAAAAGAAGAAAGACACCTGATGTTACCCTGAATAAAAAAATTATCACAGTCAGCATTCAAAATACATCAAAAACATGCCCATTCCAAAATAATTTTTACCTGTGTGTTTCTTCAGTGCATCTTTTATGGTAATGAAATTCTTCAAAGATTTGGACATTTTACAGCCAGCAATTGTTAAGTGACCAGTATGCAGAAAATACCGAACCCAGTGATCATTTTCAAAATATGCCTGCAGGAAAAAAAAACCCAAAGATCCAACACTTTTTACATACATATCATGAAGCAGGAAAACTTAGAGAATAAAATCCCGAGAATCAAAGCTCATGTTTACACAAAACACACATCAAGTTTAAAAAACTGGATTATGGATTTGTGTAAGCTGCAGTCAAAGCAAAGCACATTGCTTTATCACCGCAGGAAGATCAGAGAGTTCACCTCAGACTGGGCCAGTTCATTGTCATGGTGAGGAAATCGAAGATCAAAGCCTCCTCCATGAATGTCCATCGACTCTCCTAGAACGGATCCACCCATGGCAGAACATTCAATGTGCCAACCTGGACGACCCTGTTAACAAAAAGGCATTACTTGGTTACTGGTAACTGTCTTCCTCTCCTGCCCCTGTCTTACTCCCTCATGCTGTTACTAAGAGTAAAAAAGATTCTCAATCTCAGCTTCACAAAAAGAAACTGATTTAAAGATCCAACCTGGCAATACATCTGTAATGTTTTGGTTATCTTGCTTACTGTTCTTTTAAAATCTGCATTAATGTCTTTGATCACAAGGGGGAAAAAAAAAGGAAACAGAATTTACTGCAGATAAAGCTCACCAATTAATAGAGGACAAAAGACAAGTAGCAGCGATGCTGAGCCTGCATGCAAACTTCTGCTTAAAATGTATCAAACAGACTGATACACATACTAGATTATAAAATGAACATTAACCACAGAATCTTAAGACTGAATACATAATCTCCACAATTTAGCCAGTGTTAATATGAGGTGAGGCAAAAAAACTTGTGTAACTGTGCTGCTTCAAAAAGTGAAGAAAATCCAAATGTTAATTATTATGTCCTTTCTTACCTTTCCCCATGGAGAGTCCCATGAGGGCTCTCCTGGCTTGGAGGACTTCCATAAAGCAAAATCATTTGGAGAATGCTTCTCACTTAAACGATCAGCTGAGATGCTCAGGTCACCTTTCAAAAGAGAAAATGTATACATTTTACACCAGTATTACTGATTTTTGGCCTTGCTGTATCTCACATAAAGATAACCTTAAAAAAAACCAAAAACAAGCCCCAAAACACAAACCCCCAAATCAATGAACCCTCAAAAATCCTCATTATTAACCTTGATAATCCTTTGGGGTTTTGGTTAATGTTTGGCTGACAAGTATATGACAAGTATCAGCTGCACTGGTTTCTAAGTTTTGACATGAAATTCATCTACATTCTCTTACCACCCACAACTCCAATATTGGACATATAGAAAAGAAATACAGAAAGAAAAAAAAACATACTCAGAGACAAGTAAGACTGCAGATTCTATTAATTCCAAAGTTAGATGGATCTAAATTGACACTACGATTGTCTTAATCTGCACATACAACGTGATCATAGAATATTTCTTCCCCTAATCTCAGCAGCTGCACAGAACTGTTGGTATTTGTTCAATAGCTACATTTACTCCTCTGTTACCTACTGCTTTATGAGTGTCCTGATTTCACCTGGTATGGGTGTTATATTAAAACCTTTTAATATTATTTTTATAGACTTTCTGCATGATTTGCTAAAACTGTACAACTTTAGGAGCAGATGAGTGCCATTTACTGAGCATTTTAAGTTAATTCTCTGCTATAGCTCTATTAAAAAAAATCTATATTTGGATTTGGTTCAACATACAAAGTTCAAGTAAGAGCTCTCAGTAGGAAAGAGGAAGCCAAATATTTGTTATGAAATAACCCCAGCCTGACATGGCAAACTCGTGCCTGGCATGTGGAAGATCCAGGTTCAAGTCTTTGCTCCTACTCTGAGCCAGACGAACGGGCAAATAACTGGGCTATGGCCAAATGACTGAGTTATTCACAATTCTGACCAAAGAAAACCCTCACAAATAAACAAAAATCAACCCAAACCATCCTAGGGTTAATAACATTTCTTGGTCTTTTCCAATTAAAATCTTTCAGGAAAGTACTGTCTCAAGGTACAAAACTTTGGCAAAGAAATTGGTAAAGGGAATGCAGCAGGTAAATCATTAAGCTCTGACTGTGACTGATCCAAATGTCAGTAAAAGCAGTTGAAGAGACCAACATATCATCAGTTTCTCCAGCAACTTGAGCAAATCTTTACCTTCACCTTCTTGAAGAGCTTTCTGATCACCTACAGCTTCAGGCACCAACTTAGCATAGGAGTGTTTTTCACTGGCATCAAATTTCATAGTATCAAAGTATACAGATCCATTGGACACATACCTGAAAAGTTAAAGATCATTATTTAGCTAACTTTCTACCACAACTTAACTGAATTTTAAAATCACTGTCATAAGTTTTCTAGTAACTCCACTCACTTTATGGTACTTCTCAGTACCATAACTTAGGTGAGCCTAAGTTTTAAGGCCTTACCATATGAAGATTTTGGACAAATCAATGGAAGTTATAATAAAATTAATTGAAGAGAAAATAGCAGCTATTGTTAAACTTTTGAGAGGTATCAGGAAACAGCAACAAGAACGACCATTTTTTAAAATTTATGTTATTTGCAACTGGTTTCTAACTGTCACATGCCAATTTTTGACGATTTTGGAGGAGGACCAGGAAGCAAAGACAGTTCAAATGAATGGGACTTTGACTTTATTTTAATGAACAAGGATTTCACCCTATAGTGCATCATAAGAAGCACATCAGGTAAAAATAACAGCTCTTTTGCAAAGAAACCTGGATTGTCTTTATTTGATGAAAAACTGCTTCTGGCAAAGACTACTGTTGCAGATGAAAACAGAGAAAACAGCTCATAGCTAAATGCTGAAAGGAATCATTTAGGCATCCAGTAGCAAACTTACCCATAACCATTATCCACAATCTTCTTCACAAAATCCACAATTTCTGGCACATATTCACTAACCCGCGTTAAAACATCTGGAGGTAAAACCTAGAGATAAAAAGTAGGATTATATGTATATATATAGATATATATATATATATGAAAATATGCACTAAACATATATATTATGTATTGGTTACAAATTTTGCTCAAAAGCAAGTGCTAATAAAATCCAACACTTCTATTTCAAGCTTTCTGCTCTGAAACAATGTGCTGTGGCCACTTTTCCTCAGCCTTTAAAGGGATTCCAGCTCTTCTAACAGAAGAGGCAGCAAGTCCCTCTGATTTGCAGGTAAATAAATCAATCTTCACTGACCTGAACCACTGTCTGTGACACAGTATTTCATCAGTGACAGACAGATCTCTTCTTGATGGTTTGCATCACATAATTTCTTAATGGCTGAAGATTCTTAAGTAGTTAGTCTAAATGCGGAGGTTGGCAGGGATCTCTTGTGCAGCCAACAGACTCCAGCTCAAACGTTTTTCGACCAGTTTATGATTATTTGCCCATGTTACAGGAAGAGGATGGCAAGGAGAGCACACATCAAACCTGGTCACCAATTAATTGATGGGCAACAACCACAACAGATTTAAGATTGTTGGCATGGCTAAAGAGCAGGTGCTAATTTAACACCTATATATTAATATTAATTACTGCATCAATGAGGTTGAAATATGGGATTTTTGAAAGCTAATGAGGAGCTAAATTGTCTTCTGGGTACTATAAGGCATGGCACACACATTTTTAGAAGAGAAAACAGCTCATTTACTTACGTTGAGTGCTTCCATATCTTTATGAAATTCCGCTTCCCAGAATTTGGGGAGCTTTGAGAATATGGAATTGTCAGTCACCTGACTGCCAAATTTTGTGTCCAACCAGTCAGACAGCAAATCTTTGGCTTCTTCCAACAGTGTCTAGAAAACAATAATCATAAGAGCAACTGATCCAAGACTTGCCCTGTTTAAATTGTGCAGAAAGATCTTTATCTGAACAGAGACAGAGAAATAAGGAATAAGACATTTGCAATGAGACAATTGTGAATACAGAGTAATCCAGGTTTCTACCATATTTTTATCATATTGTTCTTCATAGATATAGAGGAAACAGAGCAAGGAAGATAAACAGTTAAGTGGTATCTGTTTTGATACTGATCACTTCAATAGGCATCTGGAGCTCATGCTGTAAACACCAGATGGGACCTGCAGTTGCACTACATTTTTCTGATTCTCCACTGCTACTGGATAATCTAACAGAAGCCTTACTGTGCATATTGCTAAAAAGTGTCTGAAAGACTAATTTGGACATCAGCAGGGATACCTGTTAGTCCTATAGCAAAGGATTTCTATTTCTGACACTAGGATATAATGCAGAAGGTATGATTGCTCAGATTTTAGGGTTTTTAAAATTCCATTAGGTCAGTATTCACTTTTATAAAAGCTTTGATATTAGAGTAGCTGGCTTTTCTGAAAAACCCATAATTTAGAGACAGGGTCTTCTCAAGAACGGAGCACATAACCATGTGTACCCCACAGTACTTATCACAAATAATCTGAAAGCAAGAGAATATGAAAATGGAAATAATTTACAAAAAGACAATAACTACTAGAAATAGTTATACTGACTGACTTGATTACTGGACAGAACCAATAAAGTCAACATGAATATTTGTCACTAAATGTAATTATTTTTAATAAAAATAATCCTGAGCACAACTTTGGGGGAGGTATTTTTCTCTCTGATCAGAGACAGAAATAATTGTGCAGAAAACTGCCACCAGTATTGGAACATCAGAAATGCGTGTTCAGGAACCTATAATGAAATTTATTCATCAAGACAAAAAAGTCAAAGAGAAAAATCTAAATACATACAAGAGCAAAATCCTCATTGAAAAGATTTTAAAAAAGTTATTAATAAAAACAGCATCCAAAACCTCTGTAGTTGAACAGAAGAATAAAATTTCCTGTATTGAATGCATAGTACTAAGAAGTTCTCAGTCCCACAATTTCTCTTTTAATGAATTAAAAGGTTTCATACTGTCTCATGGAATTACGACAAGCTACACATTCTTTTTGAACCTCCTAACAATTATAAACCAAATATAAAATTTAAAAAGGAGCTCAAACTTACCTCATGACATCTGTTGATCTCTTCAGCAGGGAGCGTTGCTTGGAGAGCTTCTTGTAGAGGGTCAAAAGCAGACTTCACTGCATTTTGAATTCTTTCCAACATTTGCTTCTTATCTGGGTCTGTTGTTTCATTTAGTTTAACTGAAAAGAGCTACAATTAAGAAATTAAAAAATTATAAAGCCATCTGCAGTACAGTAGCACTATGCTCCATACACAGAATATTATCTTAGCCACACAGTACCTTGCTAGTGATGAATAACACATTGTGCCACAGAAAAAGCTTTGACATCAACTACTGAAACATGAAATATGCTCCTCATCAGAAATAAAGGTGCAATCACAAGACTTTAGTTCACATCCAAATTCAATTTTTCAGAAAGACTTCATAAATCACTACATCATCATAATAATTACTGCTGTTTTCATTTTCTATGCAGCTGATCACCTTAACTGCGCAGTTGATTACCATGAATTTGAAAAGGACAAGCTTTAATGTGAAACAGGGAGAGATTAAATGCAATGTTTAGGCAGTATGTCAGGCAAAGATAGCTGGGCAAAATTTCCAGACCTGTATTCAATTAATTAGAATAATAATCTCTTTGTGATCTGTAGTTCTAAAAATTACCAGAGAATCACCTTCCCTCACCTTCAGTCCAGAATACACTATTTATAAAATCCTTAAAGCTTTCCAGCCTTTTCTCTCCAAGGTCATCAATGGTAAAAAGGAGAAAACTCCCAAGCTTTAAAAGATGAACAAACCACTATTCAAAACCCCTTTAAAGAATTATTTTAAAAGTCTGAATTCTAACACACAAACATCCAAATGCTGTTTGAGCAATACATGCACTCACAAATAAGTACTAAGATCACAGAAATCAAGAATGCCTTTTAAAGAATTTGTCAATTCTAAAACAATGTAAAAATCAAGGTGATGTGCAATTCAAGTAACATTTCTAATGTGCAGTACCAGAACTAAAAGAAGCAGAAAGTTTAAGGAGGCAGCAAAGTCTGAAGCATTCTTTAGATGCTTTCCGACATTATTGAGTGAGAACCTAAAACACAAGCAGAGATTACCACACCCACCTCTGAGGCAGTTCTAATATCTTCGAGTAGCTGATCTGGTGTTGATTTGCTCTCTCTATATCGTTCAAAAAGGTGATTTTGTCTTGCTCTCTTGATGATCTACAAATCAGAAACATGAAAATATTCTTGTGAAGTGACACATAGTTATACAAAGTGCAGATAAAATTTATTACATACAAAGGGCACTTCCCTATAAATTTAACAAGCTACAAGAATAATGTGCAATAATACAAATAAAACACACCATATACAGTTAATGGGCTACCTCAATAGAGTCAATTAATTACCTCATCAGGCAAATAAAATATATTATCTCTTTAAAACACATAGTCTTCATTATTTGTGACAGCATTCATTATTATACAACACTAAAGGGTTTGCTACCATAGGAGTGCTACAAAACAGAGAAATCAATGCCTTTGTGCACAAAATCTATGTCTCAGTTAATAAATGTAAGATTTATCTTGGCTTATCAAGTGGCAATTACATGTGACAGACTTCCATTCTAAAAGTTGAGCATTTTACATTGCAATTAAAAAAAAACCAAAACCCTTACCTTGTCATCAATATCTGTAATATTCATACAATAGAAAACATCATATTTAAAATAATCCCTCAAGATTCTTCTCAGGATATCAAATGAGATGTAAGACCTAAAACCAAAAAGATACAGGGGTGTTTTTAGTAAACACCTGTAACTATTCTGTGCACAAACCATTTTAACCTCAATCAATAACTGTGCAGCAGTTTTACTTTGCCCCCATCTATTAGAAAGTTTTTAATCCCACAATGATAAAATATTATAACGTGCTTTTAATCTTAAATTGCAAGCATTGAGTTGAAAGAGACCATTTTCTAGTAATACACTCATCTGAATAATACCGCCTTCTAATAATCTTTTGCTTCCACTAGGAACTGTTATCCCCTGTATCCAAGTAAGGAATGCAGTACCTGGCATGTCCCATGTGAGAAGCATCATAAACTGTTGGACCACAGCAATACCACAAGACCTTTTTTCCATTCTGAGGCTGAAATACTTCCTTAATTGAAAGGGAATATGCAATGGTCAGATGACATTGAAGATAGACCAGCAACACCCCATTTGGAGATTAGAACATGAAAACATGGATTATAATTACAAAAAACAAATAGTTATTCCATTCCCAACTCTACCATAAGTAAAGATCACCACTAGCTTTATCATGTGAGAGAGATAATGGGGTGTGGCTGCTTATGTTCTATGCATTCTAATCAATCAAGGTATCAGGTTACAATAATTTGGACTAAGCAGGGCACTATTCAAACTGTTTGTAAAAGTTATTTTTTTGCATTGAAAAAGGTTACACCCTACAATCAGTTCACAGATACCCGAATACTACATCCCATGCAAAATAAATATTCTTAATATTTCCTCTTTCCCAAAGGACTTTCAAACAAGACCACAAGAAGTTTTTACACATTTTATATTGCAACTATATAATTGGTGAGACTTTTTTTTTACACAGAAAACATCTGAATAAAGAAACTGTGGTTTCATTCTGCTCACACTGCCTACACTTACGTGTATTACAGCTGAATGCCTGGCTACTTTGCATGACAACTTGAAACTGGGAACTGAATATTATGCAATATGCACAAAGAGACACACTCTTGCAGTGTACATATATTAATGTATATAGCATTACACTTGCCCAGCAAATGCAATTGATTGGCACAGATTTCCTCGCCTGCGCTTGTTAACACTCCACAAAACACAACCCAGAGTCCTGATTATTGACATGGCAAACACTTCGGAAACAAGGATTTGATGACTGCTCTATTTGTGTTTCTAGGGAAATCCCCACTTTCCTTCCATTTACTCACCTTACTGCGAGTCAGGCTGTTGTAGAGGCAGAGCCTGGAATGTTTTGTCCCTTCAGGGGGAGACCAGGGGGGCTGCACACGTTTGCCTTTACCTAGGAGAAAGGGTAGTTTAAAGAAAGTTTAAAAGACACTTTCCTCAAACAGATATGCAATATAACATTTTCTCCTTATCATATCATTATTTCAGAAGAAAAAAAATCCCACATCTAAATGGAGAAAAGAGGTTCCACCCTAGTAATGCAGCTACTTCTGTTAGAGCCTCCTACAAAGCCACCAAAATCAAAGTAAGTTATTGAAATCTAGTTTATTTTTACTCTCTAACTAGCTATTCCTATTAGTTTCTGATCCAAGTAGCAGTAAGGAAGAGGGTACAAAAGCAAGAGCATGCAATTCAGGTAAAGTATTACCATGAGTTTTGAAATCCAATGAATCATTAATGGAGTGTTATGGCAGTCCTGGGCAATTTGCAATACCAGTGATTTTACTGTGATGGCACATCACAAATCTCACACAGAATTTGCAAAATATCTCCAGAGTCCAGAGGTGGTCTCTAGAGCCAATATTGACAGAGTATGTGCACTCAGGGTGAGAGGGAGAGCTGACAGAAAGGCTTAGAAAGAACCCCAGCTTTTTATCATGCATTGTTGCTAAGTACACAAGGCATTTCTGAACACGCTCATTTACCACAAATATGCTCCACTTCAGCAAGAGGCTACATTTTGCCATTAAAGAGAGTAGATAAAACTCAGGGTAATATCAGTGACAATATGCTTGCATTTTTTTCTCCTAAATTTGTAAGAAGCAATGTAGCTGTTAAACTCATGGGGTTTTTTCAAAGAGAAGTATAGGCATGTGATTTGTCAAAGAGTTGCAGTTTGCTGTGTACTGGGCTGCTTACAGCTGTAATGATGTTAAACCAATTATCACATTAACTAGGAATGAAAGCAAACCAAGAAATTCAAAAATTACAGCAAGTTTGCCAGCTTAATACACACAGCACTATGTTCAGGAATTCTCATGGTATGCATTTTAACTGCAAGTAAAAAATTATACAAACTATTTGTTTTGACAACAAAATTGCCTTTCTTATCCTGTGTCTCAGGGTGCTCTTCATTAACTCTGTTTCTCTCAATATCTTCATATGCATATTTTGGCTTAAAACCTTCAAGTAACGTAAACATTCATGGTATAAAAAATGTAATCTCTTCATCTTGCTTTTTTGAGTAACTGCCCAAATAAGAAAAAAATATGTTAAGTGTAGTACTCTGCCTCACAAAGGGCCTTCATTTAATTTCCATGCTATGAATCCATGGAAATATGTGTCCGTTCTAAACATTGCATTGCATGAGGTACTCCTGAACAGAACACTCAAGTTCCAGAGCAGCGTCTCCAAAACACAGTCATACACCAAGGCATGGATTTGTTTACTCTTTGATTTATAAAGATTACTCTGGCATGCTTAATTGTGGCCAACACTTCCCTCAGGGTAAGAAGCCTGTGTGGGTTAGCATAATAAAAGATAAATCTGTAAAGCTTTCTTCAGTTACAACCACATGAACATAAGGAAAAACCCAGATACTGCACCCCATATTTCTCAGCTTGTGAGTTAGGTGCCACATTTTACACACTACACACATGCCAAGGGCAAAGTAAAAGGCTGGTAAAATATTGGTTTTTCTGGTCAAACACACCTCTGTCAGCCTAAAGCCTTTCCCCTGGTGGAATTGAAGTTCATTTGCTCTAATCCACCATGGAATTTTCTGCTACACCAAAAAAACAGTAATGAAGTATTCAATGTCTAAGAAGCATGGCAGATTTGTGTGTTATTTTCATGGTGAACATTGCAGAACACCATTCCAGGATTCCTGAAACAACAGCATGAAGATATAACCCATCAGAAAGAAAGATTTAACAGTAAAGATTTCATGGTCAGGAACATTGAAACCTTTTCTGTTTCTGCTCCACCCTGATCCATGGAAGTCTACAGACAATCTGCAGTTAGTGGACAGATCTGCTATCAAAGCCAGGGGCGCAGGTGAGATCCCTTCTCTGCTGGAAGGAAATAATAACCAGCACAAACACTTGCAGGCACACACAGCAGACAGAGAATTTACTCACAGCAGTCTGATTTTAACTGCTGGTCTGCTAGGAATTGAGAACACAAATGGTGATGGGTTGTGAGAAGATGGCATTGGAGTAATACTAGTTAACAACCATCAGCAAGAATGACAGACATGCATTCATTTGTAGGTATTGCAAGCACTATACAACAGCTCTGCATTGTTATTTTTCATTATTTCATGACTCCCTGAGCAAGGATCTCACTATAAAGCAATTAAATTAGACTAAGTCATTGGGAAACAACTCAGGAGAGTGATGCAGCTCCCAAAAATGCCTGCCCATGCTTACACAATGACCTAGATTAACCAGTTAATACTTCCTCAAATCATCAGCACGCCTAAATTACCAGGGCTAGAAAAGAACCCCAGACATTCTTTGTGAAGCTCAGTGTTAATAACAATCAGAAGATGAAGTATTCAGTTTGTTTTATTGTGTATTTGTATATTATACAACTATTTGGTTAACATTGCAAGGAAAAAAGTAGACTGGGAAAATCTTGGTATTTCCAGGAAAAGGCCCAAACCCACACATTCTTTTGCAAGCCAGAAGATAGCCAGCTTTTTAAAGAAAATACACATAATCGAATTCCATACACTGAGGAATTTTAACTTAAAAAAATGGTAACAGCTTTTACATCCAAATAGGTCAGGTTCTATCAATCCCACAGTAACTGTATGCAAGAATAATGTTATAACTTTGAATGCAAATTGATACTGTAAATCTTAAGGCGTGCAAGAGAGTATGAAGGGGAATTTCTCAGAATTCTCAGCAATAACAACCAATACAATGTCAGCTAGTCTACAACCTGCCCACCAGTTTCATATTACTCACTTGTTTGAAGTATACAAGGCTCATTTTTTTCACTGCTGCCATCATAGATTGCTTCTATGTGTCTGTACCACCGGACAACATGGATATACTGGTCCACAGGTGGCCCCGAAAACTTTCTGAACACCTCCACATCTGCATGTGAAAATGTGAACCCCTGGATATAACTACGAGTGCTCAGGTACTCGTTCAGAGCCTCCACCCTGGCTTCCTCTTCACTAATGCTCAGAATAAAACTGTAGCTGGAAGCTGTAAAGAGAGGCACAGGACATTTGGTCAGCATTAAAAGAAGGAGACCCCATGACCAAAATATATCCTTATAATACACATCTCCCCCTGTAAATTAGCTCTGGCAACTGGTAAGAAATTTGAGAAAAATTAGATTTAATACAAGCTACCAAATAACTATGTATTTCCTGTTAACAGGATTATGCTCATGCTGGTGTAAGTTTTTGAAGACATCTTTTAAAGAGTAATAAGGACAAGGACATAGGTCTTTTCCATGAAGAATATAATCTTCCAAAATTGGAGAAAATCCTTCACACAGAGCAAACCAAATCAGTCACTCTTTTCCATGCTGCTAAAACACTCATCCTGCCAATATTTGAATATGATTCATTTTATGCACTGTGCAAAGGCTGTGAATATTGAACTTAAGCATGTAGTTACAACTTTGCAGGGGTGTTGCCTGCACACAGGCTCCCAGCACGATGCTCAGTTCTTCGTAATTGCTCTAGAAACTCAATATACAGCTGCTGCTGTATATTCCCATACCTATCCCCCCATGCCCCCTTCTCTCTTCAGGCACATGAATAATATTTAAAATGAGTTAAACCTACAGAAACTAACAGAAAGGATATCAGATGTGGGACTCAGATTCAGTCAAAGAAAGAAACTGAGAATTTCTAGCCAGGCAGACGCCTGGGAAAGAGCTGGAGAAGAATGTAAATAATTATTTATCTTTCCTGTTTTTCACATTGTTTATAGTTAAGTTCTATCACTGTGCGTCAAGACTGCACCAATGCTGTGGATTGTTTTCACTTCAGGACCAATGAATTTGATCCTCACGAAGCTCTGTATAACAGAGCGATGTATTTTGAATAAATCGGAGTTTACTCTCAGCAGCCTTCTGATCTGGTCAGTCTCTTCATTCCCATCCTGCCTCGACAGCGACAATCAGATCATGCCCCTCTCTCACAATTTTTTATTTCCATTATTTCTTTGGTGTATAGGCAAAGCAGGTTCAGTTATGTCTCATCCGGACAAATGCAGGGACACAGAGGAAAGCTCTGTGTGTTGTGGGGATGCTCACTGGAAGAGCAAGCCCTGTGCAAGCCAGGGGGCACAAAGCACTCTGAGGTTATGTTAGCACTGCCATTAGGCAAACCCAGCATTCACATTTTCCTACAATGATTCAATGTTTGTAGCTCTGTTTGTGTTCAAAGTACTGTACAAATATGAAGGCAATATCCTGTCTAGGTAGTCAGCCAGCAAAGTAATTTAAGCCAAGGTCACGTGCAGTAAAGTGAGAGAGGCAGCAGGAGAGCACCTGTCCCTGCTCCCAAAGCCCAACAGAGACCACAGCCAGAAGTGTCACTTCTCACACTGGCAGGAATATCTCCTGCACGAGGAGTTCCCGAAGCATGGAGGTGCTCACAGAACACAACTCTTGGAAAGGCAGGAATAAAAAGAGATGGGAAAGTGATGGCTAGGAGAGGATGGGAGGGATGGCACAAAGTTTTTCCAAATATCACCAGTTAAAACATTATGAACTATTTTCTATATGGAAATCAATTACTAAAATATCCAACAGCAACTCAGGATGATAGGGAAGTGGCACCTAGATATCAAGCATGTTTGTATTCAACTCTCTGGAGTATAAATGACATATAGTGACACATTGGGAGAACTAATAAAAAAGGTCAATGACTTAAAGTGTAAAAAATCAAAATTCACAAAAGATATTTAATATCTATGAACAAAATAAAACAGATCCATGTAAAGTATAAATCCTTCTCAAGGCCTATCCATGTAATTGCTCAGTAAGGAATACCAAGGAAATTATGGTTTATAACTCAACCTTATAGGCTTGCCTTACCCAGCTGAATGGGATTCTGCTTTGACTCACACAGTTCATTTTACTATTATCTTTTCATGCTCCTAAATATTTACTGATGTATATCAGCACAGAACTTCACATGTTTATACACATGAAATAGTTTGAAACAGTTATGTTCACAAACAGTGGAAACCTAAGACTTAAGTCTTCCTCGAAAATAAATTTTGTAAAGATGAAAGATATGAGGGAGAAACCAAAAAAAAGGTATAAAAGAATGATCTGAGTAGAAATGAAACTATATCTCAAAGAAAAGATCTTTTGCAAGGAAAAACAACACTCAATTTGCAAAGTATTATTATGGTTATTATGACCATTATTCACACATCAGGTTGCTAATGGGAAGCATGTCAGTGTATCTAAAACAATGTAAGTGCTCTCCAACCACATCTGTAAACCAATCTAAAAGGGAACTTGCCCGAACTTACACACAAATACAACAAATATGACAGCACTCATACAAGTTAATTTTGGCAAGGGGAGGTGGCAAACACTGCCTGTGAATGTCAGTACCGGCTCACCACTGGTAAGCTTAACAACCGAATTTTTTTTTATCAATCTTGGCACAGACATTAATACTTCAAATAAAAATGTTTGGCAGGCTCACTGTCCCATTCCTAGTGTCCCACATCAGTTTCACAGGCTATGCTGAGCAGATGACTATGATAATAACACTGTCTTGGAAGGCACTGTAGCAGTGGATCACTTTTTTTAAGCAAAAGGTATCAGTGACAGCTGTCTACATAAAAGTCTGTTCTGGTTTAATTGATACCACGGCTAAAAGAAAAATAGCAAATCTACAGAATCTGGTTTTCTGTGATTTCCATTCTGCATCCTCAGCTCCCCCCATCTTGCAATTCCTTCAATTCATTAAACACTCCCACTGAAATATTTCCCGGTACATCCTAAATGTTGCATCCTATTTTCCCATACACATTAGCATCCCCATCCTCCTGCACAGCTCCAGCCCATCACTGCTAAGTCTGCCAATGCTGTGCAAGAGGCAGCTGCCCACTGGCAAACTGATTGATTAATTAATACCCATCAATGGATTCAAAAAGTATTGAGGGAGGAGGGCCAATGGATATATGTACATATAACCTCTTTTCCTTGCTGCTTTAGGAAAACAGGCTAAGGAATTGCCCTTCTCTCTAACTGCAATTTTTTTCCACCCCTCAAACAGAACAGATGCAAATGCTGATACTCAATTGCATTAGGAAGTGTCTCTTTGACAGCAGAAACACCAGAGTACTACAGAGCTGTTGCATAACACTGAATTTTAACTCATGTGAACAGAATGACCCATAGATACCATATCACACAAGAGGAAACAAGCACTGAGCACGAGTATTGGAGAGGTAGCAAAATAACCTTGAAAAATCAGAAGAATTAATGTTAACAACGTAACGGTAAAAAGTTGTTTCAAAAAAATTCCACTGCAGACATCAATTAATACAGTTATCACACAATAACCACTGCTGTACAATTTCTTTTGGTGATATAATTGTCACACTTTCCTTCTTTACATGCATGGACTGTTTCAGAGACTATTAAAGGACACTGGGAATTTGAGAGACTGCAGCAACACACAGACTCAAAGGCACAGGACAGGTTCTACATTTTATCTGCACATAAAATAACTTTTGAGGTTTAATCAAGACACATAATCCTCACAATATAAAATTTTATTGAAAATTTTCACTTTTATTAACTTGAAAATGAAAACCTCTGCTCCTTGAAGGTGTGGATGTAAATACAGGAAAATCATAAAGAAGGCAGTAAGCTACCTGACACAAAACCAGAGAGTTACTTCACTTCAGGGAAAAATTATATTTCCTGGGCTTCCCTGAACCTGCTAACCTTGTCAGTCATAATCAGATGACAATCTAAATGTTCTGGGAATTCTGCAGAGGCATTCTCCAAAAAGAAATCTTACCCATTTCTGAACATATTGAAATGTAATTTCTCATCCAACTTGACTTTCATAAATTTAAGACAACATACAAAATACAAACGTAGCATTATTAATACAGCTCCAAACTGGCCATTTATCATCCTGGCCAGTCACTCTGGTACCTTTGAAAAGAATTCCAACCATCCGCTCAGACAAGATGAATTCTCCTTTTCCATTAACATTTCACAAGAAACAAACCAATGTAGTGATTCCAGCTAATGCCAGACACAGCATGCACAGAGACAGAAAAACAAAGGACTTATCAAGTCTCACACATAAGGAGCAAGAGGCTTTTAGATGAGCAGGGGTTTTTCAGACTGGAGTATCCCACACCAAGGAAGAGATTGTCAATCCTAGTCCTTTAAACCCTGAAAGTTTCACTTCCACTTCTGAACTGAAACTAAATATAACAATTACAGATTCAGTTAAAAAAAAAACAAAGCAAACAACACCCTAAAAAATAGTAACTAAAGAGTTTCTCGAAATGCACCTGAACTGAGCCTTCCTTGGATTTTTTTCCCTCCAAGTCTGAAAAAGACTCCTGAAAAAGCCAATCCCTTGACGACAAGAAATGTTTCACTTTAGTGGGAATATTGCAGGCGATGAATAAAGATCAAAGTAACTTTCGGTTACTTTGTTAAAGAAAAAGGGGCGAAAATATTTGTATTTACAGATCCTCAACAGGAATGACAGAAATTTCCAACCCTTTACATACCATAATGGTATTTCATACTTGCATGACTGGTATTCCAAGTTTCCATTTGCTACAGTAGTGCCAAAAATTATAGTACTACCCCAGCCCTCCTTCCATATGGAAGGGTACACCCCATCATTAAAACAAGACCACAACAAAATGCCCGTAAAAGCCCAAAAGTTCAGGCGTGAGAGCGAACAGGGATGGCTCGGGAGAGGCGGGACGGGAGGCAGCGAGACAGGTGAACAGCAGGGCGGGCGCGCCGGGCAGCGCACGGACCGCGCCGCGGGACAGCTGCCGCCGGGCGGGGAGCGCCGAGCTCCCGCACGGGCGGGGAGCGCCAGCACCGACCCCACACCCGCGGCGGCTGCCGCGCCCCACGCAACGCGGGGCGCCGCTGGCCAGCGGAGCCGACCCGCCGTGACAGCGGCGCGGCCGCCACCGCCGAGCCCTGACAGCCCCGGCCGCCCCTCGGCCCGGCCCCGCCGGGGGCCCGCGGCGCCGCTCGCCCACGTACCGTGCTCGGCGCTGGCGGCTGCTGCCATCCCGCTGCTGCTGCTGCCTCCGCCGGCCCTCGCTCCCGAGCTGATGCAACAGCGCGTCCGGAAGCCTCGCCCCGCCCGCCCTACGCTACTTCCGACGGGCCGCGTCACCCCGGGCAACCGGCAGCGCCGCCCGGCCCGGCCCGGCGCCCCGCGGCCAACCGAGCCCCCGCTCCCGGCGCCGCCGCCCGCCTCCCCTCACAGAGCTCCACGGACGGAGCCGCAGAACAAATCACAGAGCCAGGCGCGTCTCAGCCGGGCTTTTATTGCTGTGCTTCAAACATAGAGGTGCTGAGCAGTCCGATGATACATCGTAACAAAATCGTTTCGGAAATTAAAGCATCACGGTACGCAAAAACGGCGAAATCGGACTCTTGGTGCCCGCCCCCAGGCTGGGACAGCACCGCCACAAAGTAAGGGATGCCCGAGCTCCTGGCTCCGAAGCGGGCATCTAGCACCCAAGTTTCATATTTTACAGCCCACAGGTAGGAAGGTCACGTAAATATGAAAACAACAAAGGGATTACATCCCTTCCAGCTCTCTGCATGAGATGAGGCTAACAACTCCATTTCCACTAGCAGTTTCTGACACCCTCGTTTATAGGAAGTCTGAAAACACTCATATGTATGCAGGAACATTTTTGCAGTTCCTCATAAACATCAATCTTCAGCTTCTACTTATAATACCGATACTTTTTAAAGCATTTGATACGCTGGAATAAGCCTTGGGATCTATATGCTTCAATGCATCCAGTAAATTAATAATACATTGTTTCTTTCCCAGTCTATTTTTCCAGATGAGAAGCATCTGATAGGATTGTTCTTCTCTATTATCAGGAAATTTAGAAATAATTTTATCAATATCATTTTCCTGTAGAAGAGTTCTCATAAGCCGCTTCCACTGTTGCGGTGGTACTTCTTTTGTAAAGACATCAAAGGTCTCTCTCAGTTCTGCAAGAAGAAACACACAATGCACATCAGCTTATTTTAAAACACGGGGGGGATTTTCCCCATAGCTCACACACATACTTTCCCCTTAATGTCCAGACAATACCTGCACAGACCAAACAGCAGCAGCAAGGCAGGATTTGGCACCTATGAAGCAGCAGGACAGACAGGTTTTCTACTAAGTGGTCTTGAAAGTAGCTAAAGGTATGGGTGTACTTCTCAGCAGTGGTCTCCTAAGGCAGGACACCATCCAGTAAAGGTGGTTTTGAGAAAGGCTTCATTGGCTGGCATGTCCCCTTAGCAGGGCTACTGAAGCAGAAGTTTTAACCACTTCACTATGCTGCTAGCATAGGTTTGCCCCACCAAGACCACCATGAGCAAAACAACCCTCGCTTGGACATCCAGCACAACAATTTGCTGGGTACAGGTGAAGTATAGAGGTTTGATGTGCTTTTCCACATGAGGGGACATTTGACAGATCTCCACTCTGACCTACACCTCGCTCAGTAAAGCAGAGTACACTGCTGCAATACAGACTTGCTTTAAAACATTTTTCAAAAATTTGTACCATTCTTAAACTCATGACTGCGCTATACTCCCATGCAGAAAAATCATGCTCCAAAGTAGAACAGTTCACCACAGGGATTACAAATGCAGCAATAATCCTGTTTCAGCATATTTTACAATAAACTGGAAACCTTACAGCCCTAAGCAATATTCATTAGCCTCTTTATACTACTCCATAAGTAGACTAAAGTCAACAGGAAATAAAACCAAATTCCAAGTACTGCCAATTTATGGAATACTTACCACTTTGAGAGAGATCTTTGACAGTTATCTGACTTGGTTCTCGTATCTGTAATACAAAGTTGGACCATTACTCCAACAAATCAAGGTGCTTCATTCACTATTATTTTCTGCCTACCTGACAGCTCGCTTTTACATCACACACAGCAAAAAGGGAGGCAGACTGGGGAAAAGAAAATTGCATGGTAAAACAAACACACTACTGGCTCCAAGGCAACGTTCACTGCTATCGCAAAATAGTAGCTCCTATCAGGGAGATGAAAGGGGCAGAGTAAATTAAATGAGGGATTGAAGTGTTTTTCCCCCAAGCTATCACTTCCCATACTTCCTGTAACATCTTTAAGGGAAAGTTTCCTCTATTGTTTTGCCTGGAAGCTCTAGGAATAGTTACAATCTCAACTGAAGGGATACCTATATTAAATACAATTATCATTTCACACATGCACACTTATCTTACAATTTGCTGGAGTTCCACTTGGAACATTAGATAGGCAGTCTGCAGAAAAGCAGAATTCTGAACAGGTTTTGCTGCCAATGAAGACTTAGCAAGCCCCCTCAACCACATTGTCATATGACACTTCCAGCTCCCACACAGGACAGTGCCCTGCTCAGAAACCACACTATTTTCCACTATTTTCTTCTGCAGGAAAAAAAAGAAATACTTGAACTAACCAGATATCAGAGATATAAAAGGAGAGCTAATTATCTGGCAAAGTAGCAGCCTTACAGAATCAGACCTCAAATGGTTTCAGAGCCTGACTCTCCACTTCCCTGGGTGTTCTGCACCCACCAGACGGCAGGGTATGACTCACAAATTACCTCCACAACAACCCCAGCAAACTTTTCCTAATGCTCTTACTGATGTGGGCTGCTGCTTGCTCCTCTCTAGGTACAGAAGGTAGACAGCCCTCCTAAGACAGGAGGGAATTAAATTGCCTTGTCACACTTAAGCTGACTTAACAGCAAGCAAAGGCTGTGCAAAGGCTGATGCTCAGAACCATTGCCAAGTAGCTTGTCAGCTCCACAGCAGTGCACTACCTTGGGCTGTCTGTGGCTGGATTAGCTTTCCTGATGGGCTCACAAACTATAATCAGTTGACAGAAGCCAGTGGGCACCTGTGTACAGTGCATAGCTTTTGTGACGGGACAAAGAGGGAAGCCAGCAAGAAAAGCTCCCTTCATTTTTGGCATTATAAATTCATTAAACAAGCATAGCCAGGGAGTACAACACCAGCTCTGCATAAACTGTACAAACACAAAGCAGAGTAGCATGTCTAGCATGACAGGCAGTGCTAAAGCTGGCAAGCTTTAGGAATATTATTTTATATGTGTAAAATGAGGATGAAGAATTACTGTTCTACCCCTGAGACTTGTGTTTATTAAGGTACAAGCACTTTGTAAGCATAAGCCAGCATGCCTTCTGCTTGCACAGTGACCCACAGGTGACACCGTGACCAACATGCATAAGTGGGGACAGGAGGGGGAACCCCCCTACATATGACACAGGTAGGTCTACATCATTCTTACTGAAAACACTTTCTGTTTAAGGGTATAAACACATTCAAGAAATTAAACCTTATTTATACAGGGTAATTCTTAAACAGGAAAACAAATCACAAAGAGCAGAGCACGGCTGACACTTCTGCTCCAAAACCCAACATCAGCTATTCAAGTATCAGCAGTTGTTGGGAGCATTAGAGCAGTATGAATTCACTGGTTCATTGGAAGGGAAGGTGGGTAGGTGCCAAAACACTTGGTCTCAGGACTGCATCAGTGTAACTCTCCTCAGCAAATAAGCTCTTAAAGCAGCATGAGCACTCCAAGTGTAGACTTTGCATCTGTCTGTGACAGCTCTTACATGAGAGACAAGTTCCACCATGCACCCATTTGTAACTGCATCATTTTGCAACCATTTTATTGAAATTAAAGACATATCTGCCTATTCCTATGTTACAGCACGTTGACCAGGTTTTTTGCCATGTTTCTTCATCAGCTTCTACAAATAGATGAAGTGCTGCAAATCTGGCCAGGGCGTGAGGGGAAACACAGCCCAACAAAAAACCTGGGGTGTTTCACATATCTGAGCCACTTATGGACCTTAAAGGAAAAAAGTTTAGGGTGAGCCTTTGAACATCTCTTTCAATTCTGTTACTTCAGTCTTCAAGTATTTTTTACATAATTAAAAGGCAATTAATTACTCAATGTCTAATTAGCAACATTAGACAAGAGTGCATACACTGGGTGGGTAATGCATTGGTGAGGGACAAGAGAAGCTCCAGGGAGGAAAAAAAAGTGCTGTATAACACTTAGAACAGTCTGGATATTTTTCCTAATTGCTCATCAAGACCAACATTTGTTGTGTAAAACTATGACTGAGCTCATTTTTGCCTTTTGTGCTGGTAGGGATGTAGTTTCTAACTAGATAAGCTAAAACCACCTTGTGTTTACTTCATCCAACTTTGTATTTATCTTGGAGAATGCTGGACTAGCAATAGGTTTTCTAGACTCACCAGTAAGGTTCTGAAATGGTGTTTGACTACAGGATGCCAGGGTATACCCAGCTGCAAGTCAGAACATATGTCAACGTCAGCTGGATAAATCCTTTTTAGGGATGTACTTTGAGACTGGCATGCTCTGAGCCCTGAACCCCTCCTCTTTTGGGACTGCTTAGGACCAAGAATTCAGACTGTCAGGTCCTGGTCTGTAGCTTGTGACATGGGCCCAGAGGCAGGAAGACTCAATCACTTCACTGGATCAGGAGTGATTAAGTCTTATGAACAAATAATTTGCAGTCACAATGCAATAAGAGCTAGAACACCACCATGCTGCAACACCAAACAATAGTTGCCATGAGTTGGGCAATACACATGTGAAGCAGAAAAAAACTTAATTGGATCAAGGTATCACTTAGAGACAGTCTGAAGTGAAAACTTGCAGCTAGTCCAAGTTTTTCCCCCACTTCCAAAGCATCCTGGTCACAGGCTCTGAAATGTTTTCAAGTATTGACAAGGCCAACTGCAGCAGACACACTTAGCTACTGAATGCATCAGGTACTTGCTATGTAATTTCTGAGCTTGTATGAATCATAACTTGTTGCATCACAGAACACATCCTACCAGAGAGCTACAGTGAGACAAACACTGAGGGCTGTGTATCAGGTACATTTAGGCTGTGAGCAGTTACACTGAGAAGAAACACTTGGTACATCACATACTTACCAGATATCCCTCTACATCTTTATCAGTTGAGGCAGCTGAAAAACAGAACAAGTGTCTGAGAAACTTAAAGGATTTGTAACAACTTAAACATGGCTGAAATCACACAAGACTTATATGCAATAGAAACTTTTGTAACACAGCCAAAGCTTTTAAAAGCCTTTTAGTTTCTTTGACCTGTCATACGTTTCACCACAGTACTACCCTTAGCTTCCACCAACAGCACAAACAGTGTGCCTTAATCCTGCTTAGCAAAATGCAGACCACAATATGATGTTTGACTTTTAAGCCACTCTTGCAACCTTCTCTGCTCCAACTTTTGTTTCTCAGCATTTTTGTAGGCTATTGCCATACAGAAGGCCGAAATTGTCTTTACTGCAATATAATCAGTAAGACACTATTTCAACAAACTTAGCACTTAAAATTCATAATAACTTTCAGTATTATTTTAACCACACTAGTAGCAGAAATAGAAGTTTCCAAGGAAAACAGCTCAGTTTCCACTAAAAAATAAATTCACACAGGACTTATGAATCTAACATTCACATTAAGAGGTGCAAATGACAAAATGGAACCAATTTGTACAAAAAAAAAATCTCCACAGCCAAACACAGTGAAAGTAATTAGTGATCTAATTAGTTACTACTTTTTGCCCCATGCATCTGAACCCCCAAACAGGTTTTTCCTCTTTGCCAATACAAGGCAAATTGATTGGAGAGGTCTTTAAGGTCCTTATGACAATCTTGCTTTGAAACAGAGACATCCATCAGCAAGATAAGAAAGCTCATAGTTAAGGATTGTGCATTTTATTTACCAAACAAAACTACTCTTCATTTTAGTAATTTGCTAATTTCAATCACATGCAAAATGAACTAGAGCTTAAACAGGTCCCCTGTCAGCAACACAAGAACCAGGGACAGCCCTGGTGCATGCTTTGCCTAACTCTGGAAAGCAAATTTAATGGATAATAATCAAGTGGTTACCTTTGTTACACTTCAGCTTTTTAACAACAACAGCAACAAGTACTAACAAACCCAAACCAGACAACAGAAGCACTGGAATAAACCAAACAAGAGCTTCCTTCCCTGCAAAGTAAGAAAAAAAAAAATTAGTACTGAAACAGTCCCCCAGAAAGATATTCCTTATTGTCCTAGAGAAAAACCTAAGCCCAGAACTAATACAACAACCCAGATAGTTTGTCTGCAAACATGTGAGCTGCCCTAAACACGTGAGCACTCATTTGGACTGCACAGCATGCTCCCAAAGGCATCAGGTAATTCCGCAGAGAACTGCAATACAACTTCTACAAGGTTTTAGGGAGAGACATTTAAGGGGAAACAAGTGTGCAAAAGATGATAGCAAGCTTCAGGTGCTGTAGCATGCACAGCATGCATTCCTGGCAGAAGAGGAAACTACTCCAGCCAGAGTAAACATCTTTGCACTATCCATAACTTTCAACTGTGTCACCCTTGGAACTTCAAGAACCCTGGCAACACAGGTAGCTTTTCACCAAGTGAGACTCAAGGTCATTTGTCCCATCAACCCCTCTGAGAACTTGTCTTTAACAAATAACTCCCAGACTAAAATGCAGCTGCTCTTAGATACATTACAGTAGTTGAAACCACTGTTTTACAGACTACTCTGGTGTTGCTAGCCCGAAGCCACAGACCCAACAAACCAAGCTGAGTGGGACTTGTGTACCTTGATTGATTAAGCCTGGGTCTGAAGCACCAGTGGAATTCAGCAGGATTTCCTTCTCCGGATACCTGAAGTGAGTGGTAACACAACATTGTATCAACATTTCCAGATCAGTACATAGCTCTGTCCAGGCCTGATTCTTTTTCAGACAGAGCTCAGAACCATGAATGGAACATGCATAAACTTTGATGGAGGTGTACCTTTAAACAATCCAAGATAATACTATAAGATAAAATAAAAGCAAAGCAGATAAAATTCAATAGAAAAAAAAAGCCACAGAGTATAGGTGTTATTCATGCACAGTTAGTTTCCTTTAAGAAGTAGTTCTACATCCTAGAACTTTAAGCTGGGTGCTAGAAAGTTAATTCAAGTGTTTCTGTTGAAATACCAACCTGAAGACATGAAAAATGCAAGTTCACAGCCATAAGCAACAAGCACAATCATACCCAAGTCCATGTCTTACTAGGTCTCAACATCACAGGTTTTTACACTTAAAATTTAAATGTATGAATAATGCCATTTGGCTTCAGGGCAATTATTTACAGCCTGATGACATGTGTTAACTATTGGCACAGATTGGGCCCCAGCTCTAACATTCCCTAGAAGAACAATAGTGACTTATTCTCAAACTTACCTTTGACTGGTTCGCTGACATATTTCACAGCCATCATCATTGCAGAAATACCCTTGTTTGCACTTGCATACAGCATTCTGTGTTAGAGTACAGGATCTCAGAGTTATCTGATCTAAAAATAAAATATAAGTTAGCAAGTGCAAAGATTATACTCAGGCCATAAAGGCAATTTACTTTTAAGTTCAATATATTCAATGAAGACCATGTTTTCCACATTAAAAAGGGGGAAATCGTTAAGGTTTCATAAAGTTTGGTACCCTCTCTGCACTGTCTGCAAGGCAAGCATCCCTCCAAGCCGTTCGCATGGGCAGTAAAGCCTTTTCCTTCCTTGCAAGGATCACATTTTCCTTTCATATGTGAAGCACTGCAGTGATCAGCAACAAAGGTACCTGTGGGAAGAGAAGAACTGGCAGCAGCAATCTCAGGGCATCTTTTGACAGACAAAGGGCTAAACATAGATATTACAACACAAATTTCTGGGAAAAGTTCAACTCTTCCTTGCAAATCAATCGAATGCCACACAAACCAAGAGGAACATTTGCAATTTGCCACTCAGGGAGAGGTGCAAAACAAAGTCTCTAGCAAGGCATTTGATGGAAGGATGGATCACTGCAGCAGGCAGGGAGCCATGTGGAGGGTACCATTGCTGAAGGAATGGGGCAAGCCCAAGGAGAATTGCTTTCAATAAACTTTTTTTCTCCTTTGTCTGAATCCCACCTAAATGCACCAGTAAGCTTCTGATACTAACAAGAGGTTTCTTCTCGATGCAAAACTTCTTAGGCCCTGAATACAATGAGCAAGGAGAAGAGACCAAAACCATACTGAAGCTTTGCCTACAGACACAGAAATATCAGAATTCCCCTAGGCCTGTTCTGTGTGTTAACTAAGTCACTTAACTTCAAAAGCTTTATCCTCAACCACAAGCAAAAGTTTCCTAGCTTGATGCAAAAGCACTTCTCCCATTCATCATCTGTTGCATTAAGGGGCTCTCACTTCAAAATGGAACCCAGTCTTTGTAGCACCAAGAAGTCCTCACAGCTCCAATCAGGCTTACACTTTCACGGCATGCAGTGTAAGAAGCAATTGCTATCAGCTGTAACTGCTCAAAGTCTTACCTGCTTCACAAAATACACAGCAGAGACCTTGATGGAAGTACTCTCTCTCGCCACAGTTCGCTCGGGCTCTAGGCATCGTCATTAGTACAACCTACAGCGAAGACAAACATGCCTCCTGAGTGATTCATCCTCGCTGGACACGATCACTATCTTGGGGAGATTAACTTGTAAAGACTTGGAAACACATTCAGAAGCTTATGGGAAGCCACAGAGGAAACCCTAACTAATTTCTGCTAAGTGCTGCTCACAGCAGTAATTGCCATCACAAAGCTGGGGTTAAGGCAGCACCATGCAGCGGCTTTAGACAACTATTACCACACATTCCTGCCTCCACACAAACTTCTGTTTTCTTTCCAGTATCTCACAGCAGTTGAGCTGCGGCCGCCAAAGTTTTTGCGGCGTGCAAGGGATTCGTTTCTCCCTTCTCCCGTCCTTTTAATTCATCGGAATCCATGCTAGTCTCACTCCCGCAAAATTGAGGAAACGCCCACAGACTCATTCAACACGTGTCGCTGGCTCGAATCTTAGGCAGAAGACAAGTCGAGTCATTAGCAATATATTCTACAGGAGCATTAGGAATTATTTTTTTTTTTTTTTTTTTTAAGAGGAAGAAACGTGCAGGCCACGCACTCCTCGGCGGGCGTCCCGCGGGGCCTCCCAGCGCCGGCAGGTTCAATGCTTTCCAGGGAGGCGAGCGTAGGCTCGGTCCCGGACAGCTCACACGAGAGAAACCCCCCCCGAGCAAAAGCAGGAGGGGAAGGGGCGGCCGCCGAGCTCTAACTAGTGCCACCGGCACTAATTGGCACCAGCGGGCAACTTCTAAGCTAAAATCAAGAGGGTCCCGCTCTTTAAACTCTCTCCCCGGTAGCCTGAAAATCTTCCCCGTAACTGTGGGGAGGTGAGAAAACTTCCAGTTTCGCACTTAAATAAGTGAATTTAAGGACTATTAAAGAACTTAAGGACTACTAAAGAACTATATGAGAACTATTAGAGAACTCACTCCTGACTTATAACTTTTTTTTTTTTTCTCCGAGAGAAGGAAGAGCGGAAGCGAGCGCGCTAGGAAGGTTTATGTGTAGGAGCTCGGTATTCCCTGAGGGCACTGGGCTCACCGCAGCGGCTCTACCGCAGGTTTCCGCAGACATCAAACACGAACAAAAAGTTCGGAAAAGTTACCAAAACCTCTTCAAGAAAAAAAGGTTAAAAAAAAAACAAAACAAAAAACAAAACCCCACCAGGGCCCTTCACGCTTTATAGCCGGAGGAAAACTTTTTTCCGCCACTAAAGCCAGGATTTGGATTCTGGCGGCGGACGGTGGGCAGGCGGAGGCCGAGCCCGTATCCCGCGGACCCAAGAGCCCCAGGCAGCACTCACCAGCAGCAGCCCCGCGGCTCGGCCGGCTCCCATGGCGGCGCCCATCGCTGCGGCCGCCCCGGCGCTGCCGCGCCGCTTTTATCGCCGCCGGGGGGGCGGGGCAGCGCTCTGCTCTCCCCACCTCCACCTCCCTCTCCATCTCCCCCTCCGGCAGGCACCACAACCGCGCTGAATTACCGCAGCTTCCCCGAGGGCTGTCCACCCTGATCACAAAAAGACTGTAAGGAGAAATTTCCCAACGTGGCGCAAACGAAGTGCATATAACTGGGTTTTCTAAAGCGCTAAAAGAGTTCTCACGTTTTGTCCTCAGCACTTCCTCCCAAAGAGGAATAAGTGGAATGTTTCTGGTTATGATTTTCTTCAAGAATACTTTTCATTTTCTGCGTGCATGTAACTGGCATGTAGGAATGCTCACCTCCAGATGTTGGATTAAAATTAATAGCACAAGGATTCACAGGCTGTTCCTTTTTGGGCTATTTTTTAATCCTCTGTGGCAGCAGCCCTAAATGTTGAAAACTCTTCCTCTGCTAATGCTGAATTAACTTGTTGATAATTCCTTTCACTGAACTGCTACTCTTGCAGTAACAGTGTTTGTTTTACTCAACTGCAGTTACAAGTCCTAGTGCAATCCCTGTGGGTGCATAGCTTGGTAAAATGGAAATAATCTAAACAATTTCCAGCACTCACATTTATACCTATGGAAGGCTTCCTGCTCACCACTGCTTCCTTTTCATTCAGGGGGGCTTGGGTTGTTTGGATTTTTTTCTGTTGTTGTTTGGTAATCATTTCCCAAAGCTGGGATACAGTTGTACCCAAGGGAAGTAACAGCCCTACCGAGGTGGAGAGGCTCATAACTCAAAACACATGCTCCAAAACCAGGATAAGTGTGATGAGGAAGGCTGTGCTGACAGGCCAGAGATGTGCTGACTTGCTGAAGCATTCAAAGGAGATTAGTGGATGTGTTTGCACAGCTTTACATCCAAACACTTGGATACATCCGAACAGGAGCAGACACTTTGAAGCTGCACAAGGAAATTTGCATAGCCTCGAAAGCAGAGGCAGTGCCCTCTCACTGAGTTTTACATGAGGCACGCATCAGACTTCCTCAGAAAGAGTGACTAGGATGGCATCCTTCAAAAAGGCACCCAGTCTGTATCACTATTGTTAATATTTTTCAAGGGTGTTTCCTCAAGGATGAAGAATGCTTTCGTTTTTTAGAGACTTCTGCTAATGACAAAGCCACTCTCATTCTTTAGCATTTGTCATCAGCTTCCTGAACGTCAGTGTGAGGATGCTGGCTGCCCTGCCTGTTCATAGCAGAGAGCTGCAGTTCTCTCTGTGGAACTATCTATTCACTAGCCTCAACTCTTTTATAAAGGTTTCCTCAGTCCAAGACAAGTTTGTACATTTGCATTACAAAAGTGAAAATCAAGGGAACCACCTTCTCTTTCTGGAAGTTGCTACAATAAGAAGACAATTTCAGACAATTTCAGCCAGAAATTTCAGATACTAATTTCAGGGTATCAAACTGCTATTGCTGTTCTAACTTATGGACCAGGTCTGACATTCTTGGAGACAATTTCCCATAGATTTTCCTCTAGAAAGTGATTTACTATCAAACAAAAAGTGAAATACTATCAAACACAATCCCAAAAATAATTTGTCAGATAGACTGCCACTGAAAGTTGTGTGTAGTTTTATTTCAACATATCAAGCACAAACAGGTTTCCCCTAACTGGGGAATATGATGAGGAATGTACTTAAAAATTTGGAAACATTTACATTGAAAGATAGCCCAGACTGGCACCACCACTAAGTATTTTAAGGCTGTATATATAGCAGTACTTACCACTTGAAACTACTTCAGGCCAGAAAAGAAAGCCTTAGTATTGTCTGCAATCTACAGAAAATATTGCAAATCTTTAAAAAATGGTGTAAAATAGGAAGACTATTAACAGGGTTGAACAATGCAGTGGCAAAACCCTCCCTCTTCCCTGACCTTTGACAATAAATGTGCCTAAGACCGAACACATGTACACCTACATCACTCCCATCCTTCTCACCTATGCTGGGGCAGTGGATTTCTCTCTACAATGCTAGTGTGTGATATTAAAAAACAGCCATATAGCAAATAATAACAATAATAGTAAGTGACCAGGTTTTACAAACAGGTGTGCGTGTCTGACATCACACTCAATAGGCCAGACCCAGAACACCAGTCAGCTCCGTAAACAGACAAGGAGCTTTCACTGAATACTTCCCATTTCCTAAAGAAGAATGGCTCTAGGAAATTGTGTATATTTACAGTTTCCATGGAATGGAAAATGAAACACTCTCGGAAGACCCATTCTGCATGGGCTGACTAAACAGATCATGACTTAATATCCTGGAGCTGGATTTTTTAGACCAAGTGTTCTCCCTCCTGTAATTAAAGGCAGCCGGACAGGCACCATGGACATCAGTTCTTTACAGCTCCCCAACTGCTCTTCCTCACTCCTGGAGCTATAACCCAGGCCACTGTGACTTTTCCAAAATGTTGAGGTGATTACCATTTTGCGGTTACCAATACTGCTGGGTAATTATTAATTGCATCAGAAAATGACAAAACATAGAAAACAAATTGCACAATTAAAGCTACATTTGGCTTCAGCATTAAGGCCCATACAGGTTAAGAGGTCCTTGAAGATGTACATGTAAAAGGCAAAAATGACATAATCTGCAGGAACAACGTTTTGCAGGTTCCTAGGTCCCTTTTTAACCTCGTTTTTCCACTTCCTTCCGCCTCTGCCATGTTGGTTCTAAAGTGCTTTGGTGCCTCGCTGGGCTCCTTGCGTGAGTGGCCCCCTCCTGCAGCCAGTGATCATTATTGCTGCCAAACGTAGTGATTTTATTTGAAGACATAATTAATGAAGAGTTGACACGTAAGAAAGATGCAGAGGAGAAACCAACAGCGAGAGTCCAGGAGGAAGCTTTCAGAAGAGGCCTTCCTGTGGAAGGACTTTTTGTTCAGAGCACTGAGGTTTCTGCAAAAGAAAGCAATATGATTATTTGTGTGCTGGAGAGATGTGTGCCTTCACACATGTGCATACCCAGAACTTCCACACCAGGAGGGAACCCTGTACTTTGGTGGCACCCTCAGGGGTAGAGCAGTGTGCCCCCCAAGACTTTGCCTCACTCTTTTTAACAAGAAGATTAGTCCTTCTGGCTGCAGCTGGTTGGCATGGGAAGGGCACCAACTCCAAGAAATCTCTTCATCCAGCACTCACTCATAGCCCTGTGAGTTTAACCTGTGCCCTAACCTGCCCTGGACACCCCCAGGAGCTGCAGTGAAGCTAAACCCATATCACCAATGACTCTGGCACCCAGAAAGGGTAGGCCCCATGTGTGATCCCACCTCACTGAGCCTTGGCAGGGCTGGATAATACTCCTCACACAGAGGGGAATCAGCAGGGCTCCCTGGAGCAAAGTAGCAGTTAATACCCCCCAACAGGAGTCTGCAGGGCAAAGCCCTCTGTCATCAGCAGATGTGTTTACTGCTTCCCTCAGATGGCAACCAGCAATTTGTACAAAAACTGGAGTTTAATGCTTTTCTCCATGGAATCCAGTTTTTCAGACCACACCCTTGCATCTCTGTAACAAACTGAAGAAGCTCCTAACATGCTGGACTGGAAGGGAGACCTCACACTCTGAGGTTTATTTTTAGCTGGAGCCTGACCCAGTCCTTCTGGAGTTGAGTAACACTCTGAGATGATGCTTTTTGCCCAGAAAGAGAATGTTAAGAGGAAGAAATTTCCTCCTCGCTGTTTCAAGCAGAGCATGGGTTGGTCTTTCTGGTGTGTTAACTGGTTGCTTTACCTGTAACAACTTAAACTGCACTCCTGCAGCTCACAGAGACACTCTAAAGACCACAGTAAGGAGTTAAATGCCACATGTTATCTTCTAGCCCATTAAAATAATTGATTCATGACAAAAAATGGTTACCTGTGTATGTCCTGTTGGGCTTTCTGTAGGGATAAGACAGCTGAGTGAATTTCCTTCAGGTGATTCATTTCTTTGCCACACTGAGCACACAAGCTTTCAAACCCTGTGGCAAAGTAGAAGGACAATTATGTTTTGCATCACCATTCTGGTAGTAGTGAAACACAACACAGCAAGTGGGTGGCTGTGATCTAATTGTCACTGCTAGGGGGGACACTTTCAGGAGGAAACATGGGGAGAAGGAGACAGGGAACAGAATCTTCCACCCAGAAGATCCAGGTCACTGTAACAGGTTTTGTGACTCTGGCTCAAGGTGCTTCTCAGTCAGCTCTAAGGAAAGAATGCTCCTCAGCTGAGGGGAGGAGAAAGGAGTGCTCACATCTTTCTACTCTCTCAAACATTCAAGGTCACCTCTAACAAAGGCGGAGAAGAGAGAGAGAAACACAGCCCCTGTTCCCTATGTGTTGATTGGAATGTCACTATATTTTTATAATTTTGCCAGGAATTGGGAAGTCCTCCTTGTAAGGCAGAAAGAGAAACAGCACATACAGAGAACAGAAAAGCAAAACATTCTCTGTGCTGCCTGTGGCCTGTCGGCCCATGGTATCAACTGGGCTGGGAAATGTCCCAGGGCTAGCTCATGAATTAAAGTACCAAGGCAAGAACATTAAAGCCTATAAACCCAGTGACACCCAAATACTTGCCATCATCATCTGAGAGCTCCTGCACTGACTCTGGAGTTGAACAGCTGCTCTCTGTGTTCTGGCTGTGGTTGGATGGCTGATCACTCGTTTTGCGGCGCCTGCAGTCTTTGGCAGACCTCTGGATAAAACAAGCATTAGAAGTGACTCAGTCCCTATGACACTGAAGATGTGTGTAATTGCTTTAAACAAAACAATTTGGGGTGCTGGCAAATATGTGTGAGATTGTGAAGTTTGATTGCTTTCTCAGCAACTCCTGGTAATGGACTCTGGCAGCTACTTAAGGATATTACATGCTTCATACAGAAGCATTTCCCCAAATGACAACATTCTTAAGACACCTATCCAAATTATTTTTCTTGTAGC